GCAGGTCTGGAAATGGATGCTCCCTCGGGCATTCGATGATCTTGAAGTCGATGCACATCAGGTCCGGACCGCCCAGGTTCCTCAGGAGGTTTATTCCCATGTTGAGCAAGCCATTGCGCAACAGGATTTGTCTCTTGCTTTTGGGCTTTGGTCCAAAAGTGCGGAGACAACATTGTGGCAGGCTTCTACTGTAAACGGTGAAAAACCCGGACGTAAATACCTGGGTCGTGCTTGCAAACCGGTGCCAGTCAAAAGAGTTTTGGCCGCCCCGAGGTTTAAGCAAGGGCGGCCTGACGATTTTCGTGTCAAATTCCCGGCGGTGGCATTGCAAGTCAGGCAAGTCCAAAAGCAAGCCCGTCGGCTGCAGAGCCTTGAAAGATTGATGCGTAAAGCTCTACAGCCTTGTGGCCAAGCCATTGTCCCCGAAGCACATCAGGTTTGGTCCACTATTGTGGAGTCATCAGGTTTCGGCAAATCGTTCCCGTATTGGGTAGTCACGCAGGCTCAGATTCCTTGGCAGGATTGCCCATCGATTGAGCAGGTTACCAAAATTAAAAAGGCGGTCATGGATTTTGCCAACCAGTGTTCTACCGTGGCTTGGCGACGGAAACGGCTGTCTTTTAATGAACAGGTTGAAAAATCATGGGTTGCAGAAGGAGGATCACTCCCTTTTCGCTTGGTCAGGGAGCCCAAAAAACCACCTGTGGTGGATATGACTGTTCAGATTCCAGTGAAACTTGCACCTCAGCGGTGGAGTCAGGCTGGCAAGGCTTGGATTAAAGTCCTTAACCCTCAAGACTTCCCCATTGGTTGTGCTTTGTCGGGTGATCGTTTAAGTGTGGAAGTGTTGACACGGAACGAGGATTTTTTACAGGTGAATCGCCTTCTCACTCGTCGAGAGGCTTCTTCACTGTTCCGGTCCTTTGTTTCTGCGGAACCGGAGGTCTGGTCCTCACACTTTCTTGAACAATGGAATACCTTTTGGAATAGGCCACAGGTGTCAACGGAATCCATCGGCGAAGTTATTCGGGCTTTGCCACAGATCCCCCCCATTTTGCATCAGCCGCTTTGCCTTTCCGACTGGCACAGGGCACTCAAATCGGCTCGTAAGCGTACTATGCGTGGGGCTGATGGTTGGTCTGTGCAGGAACTTTCTTGGCTGTCGGACGGGTTCACTGAGCTTCTCTTGCGGATTTTCCGGGCGGTCGAGGATCTTAACCAGTGGCCTGAGCAGCTTTCCATGTGGGCATTGATCCTGCTTCGGAAAAATGACGACATTTGCCCCACTTGGTCCTGCATCAGGCCAATCACTGTTGCGGGGGTCTGTTACCGGATTTGGAGTCGGGTGCGCACCGCTCAATTCATGGTGCATGCCAAGAGTATTGCCAAACCGCTTGTCTCCCCTAATCTCAGTACTCGGGCGATCTGGAATTTCCTTGGTGATCTCATCGCGCAGAAAGTTGCGGCAAAGGCCTCGCTTGCGGGCTTAGTGCTGGACATTACCAAGTGTTTCAATATCCTGGACAGGAACTTGTTGAAGGCCCTCATGGTGAGGTTCGGTTTCCCTGTTCAGGTGGTGGACGCCTGGCTGGCCATGCTGCGCCAACTTTTCCGGACCGTGTTGGTTGAAGGGGCTGTCTTTGGTCGCGCAGGCTCAATTACAGGTATTCCGGAAGGGGATCCGTTGAGTGTGGTGGGGATGTTTGTCTTTGCGAAGGCATTTGACCATTTTGTGCAAACAGGTCCGGCCAAGGTTCTTTGCATCACTTATGCTGACAATTGGGAGCTGGTTGCCAGGTCTGCTTTCGAATTGTTGCGTGCAATCCCTGTGGTTGAGAAATTTCTTGACTTGTGTCAGCTTTTGGTCTCCCCCTCCAAGTGTTGGTTCTGGTCGATTTGTGCCGCAGGTAGGCGCAGGCTTCGTGCGGCCCTTTTTCTGGAACAAAAGGTCCCGGTCAAGTTGCAGGCCCGTGAACTTGGTGCAGATATTTCTTACTGTTGCAAGAAGGCCGCCAGGGAAAGAAATAAAAGGACAACTTCCGGGCTTGGCCGCATGTCCAGGTTACATGGTCTGCCAGGATCGGTTTTTCGCAAGACCCGATTGTTGTTGTCGGGTATCTTTCCACATGCATTACATGCGGCCGAAACGTCGTCCGCGCCTAAAACGGTCATGCAACGTTTGCGTTCAGGTGCGTCACGGGCGATCGGGTGTAGACCCAAAGGTGCGTCACCTTGGCTGGCGTGCCTGCTTGCCTCCTACAAATGTGTTGACCCTGAATTTGTCTTGGCGATGAATAGGGTGCAGCTTTTCAGGCAAGTTATTAAAGAACTACCGCCTTTGGCACAGTTCTTCCTTGATGGGCTTCACTTACACTCCCGCAGACCTGGTCCTTCTAGACTGTTGGTTTATGCGTTGCAAGCTATTGGCTGGACGTTTGTAGGTGACGGGATTTTTGCTGACGTTGCCGGTAGGGTTTTTCACATTTGCTTGACGCCCCTGAAGCATGTCCAGGCCTTGGTGCTTTCCACCTGGACTGAGAAAGTTGCTGCTCAGGTTCGGCACCGTAAATATCTTAATGAACTTGAAAACATTTGTGTGCCCCTTTCGCAGGCAACTCGGCATTTGCTTCCTTTTGAGAAGGCTTTGGTACTGCAGCAACAAGTTGGGGCCTTTTTCTCCGGGGAATTCACTAAGCACATCGACGCGTCAGCTGCGTATTGTGTGCATTGTGGTTCGCCTGATTCCCGTGTCCACCGCTTGCGTGATTGCCCGCGCGCCGCCTCTTGGCGGACGGTGTGTCCGTCTCTGATGCGGCAGTGGGAAGAGTTGCCGGAGTTCACGACCACTTTCGGGTTGTTCCCCGAGCCGGAAGGGTGGCGTGATTGGCAGGCCTGGTTGGACACCTTCTCCCTGCCTCATATCCAAAGGTGCGACTCTCCCGACTTTCAGGTTTTCTACACTGATGGCGCTTGCTTGTTCCCCCGGCACGCGGTCGTTCGGGTTGCTGCGGGGGCTGCCCTCAGGGCCCTCTCAGATGGGACGTTCCAGATCGTTTGGCATGGTATACTCCCCGGTCTTGTCAGACTATCTTTAGGGCGGAGCTTCTGGCGGTGTCGTGCGCCCTGGGCTCCGCTCGAAAGGCCCTGGTCTTTACCGACTCATTGTCTGTTTGTCGCATTGCCACAAGGCTTTTGCTGCAGCTTAAGGAAGGTCTTTCCGGTGCTGCCGGCCGATAACAAAGACTTGTGGGCTTACTTCCTCTCGGTTGTCCGTGGGATGGACCTCGAAGATGTGCAGGTGCGGTGGATCAAAGGGCATGTCAACTATCGCACTGCTGTTGGAATGTCTAAGATCCACGCGTGGTTTAACCACTGGGCTGACCTTGCTGCCAAGCAGTCTTTGAGTGGCCACTTCACCCCTCTTTTCCAGCACGTTGTGAAGGATTTTCGTCACCAACTCGTTACGGCTAAGGACTTGTTCTCTTTCCAGGCTGGAGTGGCGCTACTTTTTGCAAATGACAGGAACGCCCCGGTTGTGCGGCAACCGGTCAGTGTCGGGTCTGTCAGCCTAGTGGGCCCCAGGTCTGTGTTGCAGTTCGAACAGGACATCCATCCCGTTGTTTGTCACCAGGGTTTTGCACGGTCTCTTCTTAATTGGATGCGGGAGATCCGTTGGGCCCCGGTTGCAGATGCTGGTAGCTTGGGTCAACTTCAAGACACTTCGTGGCTTGAACTTTTCTGGGGTTATGTTCATGATACGTCGGCGCTCCCGGCCTTTTTGCACTATCATGAGTGGGTTTGGGTTCAGGATGACCCTACTTTGGAGTTCGCAATTCCATCTTTCGCGACGATGTTCCGTACTTGGAAGAGAACTTTCGATGCCATCCTCAAGGCAGGTGTCGCGGTACCTTGGTCCCGGCACTTGTCTCAGGTCAGGTCCGTTCGCACTCTTGGTGCGTGTTTTGACTGTCCTGGGTTCAATGGGCGTGTCCTCTTGCCATCGGCGGCTTTGCAGGACCTTTCCGCCCAATTTGCTTTTTCCCCGCGTCTCTCGTCAATGCGGGTGCCTGCATTTAATTAGTTTTCTGCAACGGTCCACACGCTCACGAAATACTCGTCGGCGTGCGCACCGGTCTCACACGCTTGCGTGACCATGAGACGAATGTCCGAGAGTGTATGTATGTATGTATGTATGTAATGTAATTAATGTAATTAATGTATGTATGTATGTATGTATGTATATGTATGTATATGTATTATATATATGTATTATATATATGTATGTATATGTATGTATATATATGTATTATGTATATGTATGTATATGTATGTATATGTATGTATATGTATGTAAATGTATGTATATGTATGTAAATGTATGTATATGCATGTATATGTATGTATATGTATGTATATGTATGTATATGTATGTATATGTATGTGTAAGTATGTGTATGTATGTGTATGTATGTGTATGTATGTGTATGTATGTGTATGTATGTGTATGTATGTGTATGTATGTGTATGTATGTGTTTGTATGTGTATGTATGTGTATGTATGTGTATGTATGTGTATGTATGTGTATGTATGTGTATGTATGTGTATGTATGTGTATGTATGTGTATGTATGTGTATGTATGTGTATGTATGTGTATGTATGTGTATGTATGTGTATGTGTATGTGTATGTGTATGTGTATGTGTATGTGTATGTGTATGTGTATATGTATGTATGTATGTATGTATGTATGTATGTATGTATGTATGTATGTATGTATGTATGTATGTATGTATGTGTATATATATATATGAATGTATGTACGTGTATATATATATATGATATAATTCTGAATATTGAAAGAATGGGAAATATTGAGATATACACATTAGATAATGGCGCGGAAATAACCCATTTACAAGCTTTGATTCATCTCTAAAAATCTAGTGGTTAATGCGATGACTGCATGCCCCATTGGAAGTGGGTACGGCGAACATGTCAGGTGTTGGTGCCAAAGAAAAAAGAGAGCGAAGGTACCATAGGACAGCGACCATCGGGGCGTGTTTCTGGGGATACCTGGGTATGATTGGGTCGATTTTCCAGGAAGCAAATTATAGGAAACTCCGACATTTTTTGACCACGAAACCATCAGTTCAAATAGATTCGTAGAGCCACCACGTTTCAGAAAGAAACCCTCCGTTCCCGGACTTAAAAAACACCCAGAAACTACACATTCGACAAACGTGGTGAAAATCGTTTTCATCGACCATCCCCGAGTGTTTCCATGTTCAAAACCCGTTGATGATTGTAGTGGGTCAACCTACCGATGAATTGTGGACTCCAACAAAAATGTGGACGATCATCCATCAACTGGGAATTCTTAAGCAATCAGTTTCGAAATGGAAGGTTTCTTACTGCAGCTATGGCCTGAAAAACAGTTATAACTGCCTTTAAAACCCAATTTACATGGTGTACATATATATATATATATATCCCCCTCATATTAAACACCTCCAAACGAAACCATTGTTTAGTAGGGAATTTCCACATATTTGGGACCATTTACGGGGTGTTAATATTAAGGGGGTGGGATTAACCTTAGTGCTTTATAACTGTTCAGGGCTATAACTGCGGGTTCACCATATTACGAACAGTTCATGTCTTTTCGATTCGTCTAGGCTGGCTAAATCAGAGATCGACAGCCATGGGCATATGACCAACCAAAACGGTGAATTTAAGCGAGTTAACCTGCAGAAAATGGCGATGCAAAGAAACATGCAAAGCGACTTGGGATCCAGCTATGAAAGATGGATACTTCGCCAGAGATGGGCCGGAACGAAGAATGTGGATTCAACATGTCAAACATTTCTCGGGTTTCTCGGCGAAATCGGCCAGGACTTCCCCACGAGTGGTTTCGCTGGGAGCCCCTGACACCTGAGTCGCCCGCTTTTCGGGCCCCCATAGCAGAGGTACATGAAATGACATGAAATGACATGACATCGCAACTACCCCGGGGGGGACCCAGGGGGTTATTGTTCGGGTGAGTCGGCCATTTTTGTATCTGGTATGCACCAGATACACGGTGAACATAGCTTTGCTCGGCAGGCAGAACCCCGTAGGCTATTTCTCTATAACCAAATCTGGGACACAGCCGAAAAGCACCAGTTTCTGGCCTCAAGCGGTCAACGAATTGCTTGCTATATACATACACATATTATAGATACGTAAATAAATAAAGAAAAACAAATGCTCGGTATAATCAAATGTATAATATGGATATATCATGCACATATGCATGATACGGATATACAAATACATACACACTATATATGTACATCTTAATGATCCATCCACCCTCTCCCAGTCCAAGTCATCAGGTGACGCCTACCGGATCCAGTTCGACGACATGGACGAGATCAGCATCGATGGGCAGGTGGTTGGAAGCCTCAGTTGGGGACGTCAGGTGGGAAAATCGGGTAATTTTGGGATGATTTTGGGATGGTGTTCGGATGATTTTGGAAGATAGTTATGGATATTGATCGGATAATGGGATATATAGGGATATATATATATATATACACATACATATGTATATATATATATATGTATATATATATATACATACATATGTATATATATATATACACATATGTATATATATATATACATACGTATGTGTATATATATATATACACATGTATATATATATATATATACATATGTGTATATATATATATATGTATATATATACACATATTCATACACACACACATATATATATATATATACATATTGTACATTGGAGAATGGTGCTCCACTTGAAAGCTTGGCTCATGTGGGGAAGATCTGGTGATTTTTTGCGGAAATGATGAAAAACACATTAGAAGATGGGTTTCATTTGGGAAGACATTGAGGATAGTGGATTTGGGATGGAATGATGCTGGATAGTTGGGATATAATTATACGGATAGCGGAGATGTAGTAGGATATAATTGGATAGACAATGAATATTTCCTAAGCCATTGGGAGGTGCTCAAAAAAAATAGATTACACTGTAATGGCTTAAAAACGACTGAGATGGTCTAATGACTTGAATGATTTTGGGGTACCTCTGTTTTGGGAAACATCCCCCAGAACTTTGACGGTCAAGTCGTTGAGGTGTTTGGACCATGGCTGGTCATTTTGAAGATCGGATGAAAGGAGTTATTGGTGGTTGGTTATTTTTGACCTCTACCCAAATGTCTAGGAACGGTGCGCAATGCCTGCGTATCCACTGAACTATCCGAGGGATAAGGGCGATAATCAAACTCTTTTCCTAACCATCCTTGTGGATACCCTCTGGTGGTTGAGCTTAGCAATGGACAATCCAACATGTATAGATGATTTTCCCATCAAACCTCCATTTATAGTGGATTGTCCCATATTTTTCCAGCTGGCTAACCACGTTTGATGACTCCAGACAGTAGCCTGTAGCGATCTCGCCAAGCAAAAGCATGATGGTTAGGGGATCATCTAGCAATATAGCTCCCAGTCATTTCTGCGAAGAGTTTATCAAAAGCTCCCCTTCCAAGTTAGCTTCGGGTTAATTTGTTTACATATGTTTACATAGATGTGGGTTAAACCCATGATTTCCCGGAACATGATCAACTTACATGGTGGGTAAACTCCGCATCTATGTTCGTTTGGAGGGTTTTTCGAGGTCATTCGACTGTGCTTGTTGGGCCTGAAGTTTTCCGCCTTTGGCACGCTGATTGCGTGTGTTGGGGTCGCCCAAAAGGTTGATGGAGCAGACCTGGGGTGGAGCCAGGTTGGTGCTGATTTCTTTGTCATTGGTGTTTGTGTATACATATACATACATATATATATATATATGTATACCCATACCCATTGGGGGGGAGGGGGGGGGACCTGGGAGGCTGCATCATATATATATATATATGTTTTGTCAGTGGCTCCAAAAGATCCCTCTGAAACATGCCTAGTCCATTTTAAATAAAACATATTCGCACAGCCACGGGCCCACGTTCCTATTTTATTTGTTCCTTCTAGCTACAAAATACAGATAGGGTGGCTTAGTTGCTCAAGTCAGATCTCTTTTTTTCCGTCAACAACAACTATCCAAAACAGCTACACTGCAGTGTCTGCAATAGAATCCTATCTAACTGTTGCTATATCCTACGTAAGCCACACTTACAAGATGTTATTATAAACTAACTTACAAATTTTCTTTTGGTTGAATCTCCACTATATATTTTGCTTAAAAAAAATCCCATTTTGGATGGGAAAATCACCAGAGGTTCTGATTCCGGTCTATGCCAGCACCAGCGAGACTGAAGACGGCATTCTGAGATTCTCTATGACCAATGTGCCACTTGGTCAGGTGTTTGTTTTGGCTCATTTGGGCATGGGTCAAACGGTCAAAATTAACTTTTCCCCAAATGGATGGTTTAAAGATGTTTAAAGTTGCTAGAAATGACTAGCGGCTCCATTGGTATTTTGATTCTGGACATTTTTGCACCCTGCACAAAGAGTTTTTTTTTTTAATACGGACAGCATCTATCCACTTGGTTCGTCAAAAATCTGAGCCGAACGTTGATTGTTGGCCAGGCATCCGGACTCGGAGGACTACGTCTTTTGGCTCATCGTGGTGGGCGCATATCTTCTGATCTTCAACTTTTTCTGGCTGATCCGTGACCTGGACATAGACCGTACTGGGCGTATACCTGTGGTTGAAGATTTGGGCTGGTGTGGATGTTAACCAAACTGCTTGATATTGATGTAGTTGATGTAGTCGATGTAGTTGATGTAGTTGATGTTGGTATGCTGGTGATGTGTAGATACATCTTGGAAGGCTTAACGTTTTTGTTTTCCTGATTTGATGGTTTAGTCTCTTGAAAAACCATTGTGCGTCCTGGGGTCATTCGACAGCTGGATCTCCGAGCGACTTTCGTCCGTTGCTTCATTTGAAATTTTGATAGGATGACATATATGCATGTGTATATACATATATATAATATATTATAATATTCTAATTATATGTATACTATACTATTAATGTATCATGTTACAAATACAGATATACATTATGCAGAGATATCTTGTATGTCCACCTACACTTATATACACTGAATACGTACACATACACATATTATATCATATATTTACATACAATAGTCATATCACGCACATGTCGGTACAACAACATCTACACATCTATATGTTTGTATATATATATATCTCTTTGTGCTTTAATATAATACAATATATATATATATATCAATCTCTATCTATATATCATTCTATATCTATGCCAGCTATACAACATAATAGGTTTGATATCTATACCATATAAATATATACCTATACCATACATATATATATATATATCTATACCATATATATATACACATATCTCTATACCATATACATATATATATATATACTCTATACCATATATATATCCATACCATATATATATATATCTATACCACATATATATATATATTTATATCTATACCATATATATATATATCTATACCATATATATATATATCTATACCATATATATATATCTATACCATATATATATATATCTATACCATATATATATATACATATATATATATCTATGCCATATATATATATATATATCTATACCATATATATATATCTATACAATATATATATATATCTATACCATATATATATAGATATACCATATATGATATATATCTATACCATATATATATATATATCTATACCATATATAATATATATCTATACCATATACATATATATATATATATCTATACCATATATATATATATATATCTATACCATATGGTGTGTATATATATATACACCATATATATATATACACCATATACATATATATATATATATATAGACCATGTATATATATATATCTATACCATATAGATATATCTATACTATATATAATATATATCTATACCATATATAGATATATATCTATACCATATATATACATATATACACCATATATATATATATATCTATACCATATATATATATACCATATATAATATATATCTATATTACCATATATATATGTATATACCATATATATATACACCATATATATATACATACCATATATATATACACCATACATATACCATATGTAATATACATCTATACCATATATATATATATATATCTATACCACATATACATATATATATATATCTAGCTTCAATGTTGGAGAATGGTGGTAACCTGTGGAAAAAGCTTCTGCCTTTCCGTTGATCTCTGAGGCGCCGAGTGGCGTCACTTCATCAAGCTGCGACAGACGCACTTCCTGCGACGGGCCTTGGGAAAGAACGGCCTGGCCTCGGCGCAGGCGATGCGGCGCCATGGCGGCCATGGCCTTGTTGGCCAGGGCCCGGTTAGATGGGGAGAAAACAGGGCCGAAATTTTCTTGGAAAACACCATGGATTGAGATTTTCTATGGCCGGTTTTTTATGAGATATTCTTATGGTGAATGAGATTTTCTATGAGATAAACTGCCAGTTTTATGGAGGAAAGAAAACCGGTTTCGCAAAGTAGGATTGAAGAAAATCAGGTATGTCTTTCATATCAAAGTTCAGTGATCATTCATGTCATCTCGGTCTTTGGGGACGGGGTTTTTCAGAAAGAAGGAACGATTGCCCTCAGCGACGAATCCTCACGATGGGGATTACCCAATCCATCTCCCATTGCTATGTTTGGTCAATCCTGAGGTTACATGCTTGGTCAACTAGAATTAGCCATGCTGGAATTGATGAACATTTTGTTTGCTTCATATTTACATCCCCAACAAGGGTGTTTGAGAGTTTCATAGAGACATGACCACATAGACTGCGATGGTTGGTCTATTGGTACTTCAACACCTAGAACCCAAATGAATCCTGTATAGAAACCCCCCAAAAAGATAGAAACAGTAGATCATCAGTATTTTACCCTCTGGTAAACAAACATAGCTATGGAAAATGGCCATTTATAGTGGATTTTCCCATTGAAAATGGGGATTTTCCATAGTTATGTTAGTTCACCAGAGGGTTTATGAAAAATGGGGATTTTTCACTTTTCTTTCTCTTTGTTTTACTGCTACATTGAATACTCTGGTTGTATGATTCACCACTTTACACGATGAACTCCGAAACACAGCTGATGATTTTCGTTCTTCCGGAAACACATGTTCGACATGTTCAAGCATGTTCATTTATGGATGTTTCATACATACTAGTATGCATATATTATATACATTAACACTATTGTTATTATCATGATGATTATTTGCATATATGTTAAATATATATATATACATAATAGTATTATTGTTATTGTTATTACCATTATTCTTATTATATATATTTTCATCATGTTCAAATATGTTTTTGATCATTTTGATCCATCCCCAGTTCGGAAAGGTGCCGAAAAAAATTCTTTCCGCAGGCGCAGTTTTCGCTGATGGTCGAGAAACTCCCGTCCAAATATCAGGCTTCTGGGAGACATGGGCGAGGGCGCGGCATGGCCCCTGGAGCTGGGCAGAAGGCTATCCGAGTATTCACTTATTGTCATATGTATATATATATATATGTATAATATGTGTATATATATATATGCATGTAACAAGTATGTATGTATGTATATATATATATATATACACACTTCTTTAAGCATGTTATGAGATCCATACCTGACATAAAGTGATGGGTTTCCCACGGATTTTCATCCCATCACCATATTCCCGATATTTCCCAACCACAGCCACGGCACATCCATGGAAGTTTCTCCCAGTCAGATCACCCCCCGGCCCCATCAACTAAGGCCTGATGGAAATTTGAGGTTGTAGTAACCCCGAAAAAGATTGACACATGTTTCCAGGATGGTATGCATGATATTTACCTCATATTTCCAGGTTGCTAACTTTTCGATCTTTTTTTGGGGGGTTTGCCACATTTTTTTAAAACACCATCAGCCCTGAAGAGACTGGGGCTTATTAAACCATCGTCACCTGCCGGAAGCTGCGTGTGAGGACTCGCGCAGCGTCCTGTCCTTGTTCTCGCAGATCTTCCCTCGGCAGTTTGGGGCCCAGGAATTCCTGGTAGCAACGAACTGTTGTTTGTTAGGGATCATTTTTAGGTCTAACCCATAATGACGGGATACCTACTCTTAACCAACCAGATGGGATTGGAGAGGGGTGATTTTTCATGGCTCAACTGGGTCTTAAACACCATTTCCATTCTCAAAAGGAGCTATGACTGGCTTGTTTCACCCAGTTTCAGCATTAAGCACTAGTGGTTGTTGTAGTTACTATGACCGCCTTTGCTGAGCGGATGGATATCGACATATTTTGATTGGTTTTGGAGGGCTTAACCAACAAGGAATCAAGATCTCCCCATCTTCCATCGACAGAAAACGAGCTCTGCGAGGCCCATTTTGGCTACAAACAAGTCCCGTTTTTTTGGTAGGTTGAATCCCACCTTTTGGCTGGATGGTTGAATCAGCTGAATCAGCTCAAACATTTCGGTCGACTAGGTCGACTAGATCGAAAATCCAAACCTTTGAGCCCAAATTTCCGCCGTTGGTTGGTAAGAATCCCACCTTTGGCTGCTAAAAAAGATACAGCTTTTTGGAGTCAATCTCCCATTTTGGGATGGTAGAGATTGAATGTTTGTGCTTGGTGAAATCCAGATTTGCCATCAATACCAGCTAGTATTTGCTTAGTCACTTATGTATATATATATATATAGACATGTGTACATAATAAAACACAGGTATATATAATGCAAGCGGTAGAAGTGCTCAAGTAGGATATGAAGAGTCACTGGAATCGATTGGACAAGGAGGGGTGATCAACGCCTCATGAATCTCGCTCCGCGGCTCTTTTCAGCCAATACTTCACGGAATAGGCATGTCAACGCCTATGAGTGCTGTGGTAAAAACAGCATGCCCCCCGCATCTTCTTTCTCCTTATGAGATGGTGATGCTACCCCTTGAACATTTTCTCCAAAAACCAAAACCAAGACAAAAGAACAAAAACCAAACAAGACGAAAAATCATTCCGTGGGTTTCCATGGTGTCTCAGGCTTGATTTCTGGCCCTTGACTCTTTCTGTTTTCAAGAGGCTCCAGGCCTAGCAGTTTCCTTTTCCGAGCTGACGCTCTTTCTTCATCTTCGACTATGCGCCACTTGTGGCCCATGCGGTAGAACAGGTGCAGTTGCTTGTGCTCGTTGCTCTTGGTCAGTCCATTTGATAGCTGGGCTTCACTATGAACCCACCTAATCTCCACAGCATTGCGAATCTGGGCAGATTTCAAGGAGAGTAACTCCAGGTCTGTTCTCTTCTCAGCGCCCTTTACGGACAAGACCTCGGTCTCTAACTTGTCGTACACATTCCTGGAGTCAGTAACCAGACATCCACTGATCTGGTTGACGACACTGTTGATGTCTCTCACATTGACTTGAGCTCCCATCATTTCTGCCAGTTGGAATCTCGCAAAAAAGAGGAGATCTTCTCCGTTGTTTGCTGCTGCTGCTTCTGCTGCTCCGGGGCTGCGGCAGATTCTGCCAATCTTCTGCGAATGCCAGGCGACAAAGGTGACTGGCTCACAACTGCCATGACGCAACCGGTGCGATGAAATTCCAACTATAATGCCTTGTGTGCTTGAGCCATCTACGCGGTTCTGAGAGGCGGCATCTACCCATGCAAACAGTGACAACATGTGTGGCTCTATGGCATGTACCTTCATGCAGTGTTCTTTCATATCTTTGACCTTATCAAGTAACCTGTTAGCCTTGTAAATGGTCTCGATAGTACTCTTGTTCACCTCTGACAACAGCAAGCCGACTTCAGCACTGAAGTGTGGCGCAACTTGTTGTGCGTGCCATGAGACCCCTCCCAGCAAGGCCCGAAGCTGTGTTTTCTCAGACTCCTCAGTGGGTGCATTTCGGTCTTTCTTTCTGAAGGCTCTCAGGTTGATATATTTCAAGTCTTCAACATACTTCGATTGTGACAACGAAAAAGAAAAATCTTCATGTTGTTCCACTTGAACTCCGCATTGGGTAAACCTTTTTTCTTCCCAATCTCCCCATTTATATTCCGTTTGGATACTCTTGAGAACAGTACACCAACCCTCATGCGTTTCATCCCCACTAAAAAGGAAATCATCAACATGGCCAGAAATAATCCCTTTTGTAACCCCATCAACCACATAAACCCAGCAGCATGCGTCACTCCAGCATTTTTGCAATCCAAGTTTTGCAAAGAAATCTGAAATGGAACGATACCATTCCAGTGGCGCATCAACTAAGCCATAGCAGGCTTTCTTCACTTTTGTGATTGACTCTGCTGGGAGTCCCATCTTTTCACAGATCTCTGTGCATGGTATACAAAAAAGGTCATCAGGGTATGGCCTGCTTTGCAGGAAAGCACCTGTCACATCACCTTTTCGCATCTTGTGGCGACATGAAGCGGCTAATTGCATCTGCAGTTGCCTGGTCTGGCGAGTCGTGGTTGGAGAAGTCGTTGCTCTCTGTTCATAGCAGGGATCTTGGTATCCTAAAAGAACGGCTCTGGCTTTCGCCTTTCGGCTGCCATCCTCCTTCTGCTTCCATGTCAGTATCCAACGCATCTTCACTGCTTGTTCGCGTGCTGGGCGAAGTTTCTCTGGAAGGGCTTCAAAAGCCTTGGCAGCTATGAAGTTACTTACTTCCACGGCCTTTGCAGATCGGAACTGTTGTCGCTCTTCCTCAGATAGGTGACGCTCACAGACTTCAACTGCTGACCGTTTCTTCAAGCTACTGGCAAAGTAAGAAGGGAGATCTCGAAGAGCTCGTTCAGATCCAGCACGTGTGTCTGGCATGGGAACCTCCACGGCCACGGCCGCGGTCTCATCCATCCAGAAGGTGCACTCGGTGGCTGCAAACACTTCCTGGACACTTGACTGGTTCCACCATGGTCGGGCAGCAGCCATGCCTTGCTGGGCGCTCATTCGAGGCCTCTGTGACACGGGTGCCCCTGAAGATGTAGAAGGCGTAGGCCTGGAAGTTGGACTCCTGGATCGCCCTGTTGGCCTGGATGTTGAAGGAGCCGGTCCCATGCCACTCATCTCATCTACCATGGGGCCTCGTTTTCTTGCACATCGTCTCATTGGTTGCCATTCTTGGACTGGATCTTGAGCTCGTAGCCATTCTGCATAAGAAGGTACTTCGGTGGACACATCCAGAAACTCGTTCCCTCCAAGTTGTTGAGCTACTCTATCAAAGTCCCAGTCATCATATTGCTTGGCATGGAGTTCTTCTAAGAGGACCTCCCGCTCGGAGGCTCGACGTAGTTGCTCTGGGGAGCACTTGAGAAGTCTTCTCCCTCTGACGCACCAAATTGAGCTGCCCTGCTTGTGGGTCCCGTCGGGAGAGCGATATTGCTCCACCGCCAGGATGCGGGCTGGCCCCACAAACGAGCCACCTTTAATGGCTGCTTGGCCGCTCACTTGCTTTCTCCACACATACACTAGGTCTCCTGGCTCATAGTTGGTGACATCTCTGGGTTTTGAGTTCTTGGCTTTTTGGAGTCTCTGGCTTGCCGTCCATTCTAGGAAGGCCTTTTCCGCACTTTGCATTCGCTGGAGCTGGCGATCCATCTCGCCAGAGGCGTTCTCTACCAGCAGCTCTGGACATTCACTGGGGCCGCAAGGGAAAAGTCGCCCGGTAGCATCAGGCGCACGGCCAAGGGCATGTTGGATGGGCGAATAGCCTCGGATCAGTTCTCGGCTATTAAAGGTCCTAGTGGCTTCAGCCAAAGCTTCTGCTGCGGTGACTTCTGGGTCATCTTCAGCTATTTTGTTCATGAGAGTCTTGGTACCCTGAATAGCCTGTTCACAAATGCCCACCTTCCAGTGAGCTTCGCCCGGAATAATGTCCAACATTATTTGGTGCCTATCACAGTATTCTTGAACCACATGACTCCTGAAGCTACCATCCGGATCAACCCTGAGCTGATTAGGAAAACCAAAATACTGAACCCAATGTTCCACGAACATCAAAAATTGATAGGACTCCTTAGTTTGTGGGTGTTCCCAGTGCCCAATATCCCCTGACACAGACGCCCATTTTGGGGGGTGAGGCTCCAAGGTGGCTAACGGCCGTGGCTTCGGTCTACCCCGTTCCTTACAAACTGAACACTCAAAACGTTCGGCTTCCCTGAGCACATCCTCTGACACTCCCCTGCGTCGCAGGGCTTGCACCAGGTGTCTGGTTGGCCCGTGGCCAGTGGCAGCATGCAAGAGGTACAGTCGTTTTCTTATTTCTTCAATAGTCAAACCCTGACCCCTTTTTTGGTTATCTTCCCCAACCAGAACTTCGTGGTTCCCCTTACTGTCACACTTCACATGATTGGTTCCCCTGATTCTTTCATGCTCATCATGAACACATGAACCGCAAACAAAACCATGTTGAGAATCATGGATGTGGTGACAACTGCAACTGATCCCATTACCAAAAGTTTCCCCAATTTGGTGGTCTCCCACAAACTCCCTTTTGAGGTCTTCATCTTCCGCTCCATGAATCAACGCATCACAGACCCTTCGGGCAAATTCGGGGGTGTAATAGGCAGTTTTGTTGGTAAGGGAACCCTCGCACTTCACATGTTTCTGGTGAGGCCCACAACTACATGGCATGTTCATCCTTTTTGCCAACAAAGCATGAGTGGTCATGAGTTTCCAACCTTTTGAAATTGGGTTTTTCTCATCATCAACAAGACCAACACGACAACCCCGTACCACAGCAAACCATGGATTGTGTTTCTTCACCAGTTCCTGCATCATTGGAAGCCTCCATGCCTGACATGATTGTGACCATTCCCAAGTGACATGTATACCATGCTGAATACAGTACGTATATATGACACTGCAACCGACATACTGTTTCATGGCAGCTTTGCGCTTCTCAGAAAGGGCCTCCTTCTGAGCTTCACTTCTCTGATTGATGTTTTGCATCACTGAAAAAGGTCCACAAACCGGAGAAAGCCAAACATGTTTTGGTTTATAATGGTCAATATCTTGAATGACTTTGTGAATCCCCTGGTTGGTTCCTAGATCATACTCATTGAAAAGTGAGCAGCGTCGGGCCGCACCCTCGTCACCTTTCTTTTGTTGCATGGTGCGAGACAGCACGCTGTCGGCCGAACATGCCACTTCCAGCAGCTCTATGCGCTGGTGTGATAGCAGGGCCTCAAAGGCATTCGAAATCAATCTGTCACTGCAATGGGACAAGTGTCTTACTTTTTGCTCAGGTAAGGCTTCCCATGAGCCCCTCCAGAGCTCACTGTCGACCTGCATTCCCGCCTGTGACAAATTAAAGTTTTCCGCACTCTCAGCTGAAGCTACTGTGGGATCGGCACAAAAGAACCTGTTGATGACTCTGTCATCTCGGAGACACTGGATGCTTCGACCTTCTTGTGAGGCCTCTCGGCTTTCAGATTGTCCACGTCCTCCTTGAGGGCGTGCATCATCTGCATCATCTGCATCATCATGTTCTCGGTCTTGCCATTCGAGCCGCTGGCCGGCGTCGATGTGTTCTTGTAGCCGCTGGAGGTCTGCTTGTAGGTCGGCATCGGATGCTGTGCCTCTGGGCTCTGGAGCCAATTGGCCAGACGGGCCAGGCGGTAGTCGCACTCCCCCTCGGTGGCGGTCTTCACGACCCAGCTGGCATACTGTGGGTGTTGGGCTAGAAGCTCGTGGTACTGCAGACTGCAGTGTTCCCCGAACCCCACAGGATCCTCCGGAGAGGCGGCTGTGGTCTGGTAGATCTTCTTGGTGCCCAAGCGCTGCAGCTCCTGAATGGTCTCTGTGCCGCGGGTCTTCACCATGAGCTTGTTGTTCACGTAGTCCACCAGGTCGGCCTTCTTCTTGCTGGCCTTGTTCAGTTCGATCATGGCATGGCGCATCGGTGGCCGTACCTTCCCTTTCTGGGTGACCATCCCGTTGGCTTCCTTGAGTTCCAAGAGGCGACTCTCGATCTCCATGATGCTCCACTGTTTTGGAGCTGTTTCGCCAAAGGTCATCAGGAGCTCTTCCACCAATTCCTTTCTGGTGGCACGAGGCATGGCTCTTGTTCACTGGCTCGTTGGGGATCTCGTCTAGCTTGTGCTGGAGAGCTGCAGGAGGAGGTTGTTCTGGCTCTGTACACTGACTGCTGTCTGAGATTTTTCCAACATGTCCATGGAAACCCTGGGAAAGTTTTTCATCACCAACAACCACATGATCATGAACAACACACCCAACATCATCATGAATGCTAGGATCACCAACCATGTTCAAGGGGTTGTGAAAAGTGCCTGAAACATCGCTACTGACCTTCCTTTCCATCTCAGGCGCACGGAAAGAAAGGAGTTGTCCCTACAGGAAAGCATTCAGGCTCGGCACTGGCTGTGCAGTGCTCTGAGCATCACTGTACCAATCCTGAGTCATGGGCAGCAGCTGATGGCCAGTGGCCGAACGTTCCATCTTGATGATCTTGGACGGGTTGATCTTGCGGAAGACGACCATGTCCTCAGAGAAGTCGATGATTGCTCCCAAGGCCCGTAAGGACTCAATGGAGAACAGCACAGGTCCTGCTCCCGCATCCAACGCATGTACTTGTACTTGTCCAGGTCTGCCATCTGCTTGAACCTCGAGTGAGGCTGTGGACACGCACTGGTTCTTTGATGAATTTCCAAAACCAAACGTAGGCTTGTTCTCCAAGTCAAGATCGGCCAAACGAGAAGTCCCATGCTTGTACTGGTTGAGGGCAATGATCTTCTCGAGGGCCACCACGCTACCAAGGGTCTTTGTAGCCCCTCCATCAACGACAGCCTTGCCTTGTTCGACGGCCATCTGAGTGGAGATAGGCCCTATGCTGTTGGTGTCGGCAACATCAAAGAAGGCCTCTGGGCAAGCATCGGAGAACCCAGCATCCAGGTAGTTCACCTCGAGGTCGTCCGGGACATAGGGCTCCACAATCTCATGGTCCTTGGTGGCCTGGTCTTGTGCAAAACAGATAAAGGGTGCAGCCTGTTCTTCGGCTGAAGAGGCTGTCGTTGTTGCCATTGCCTTTGGACATGATGAAGTCTTGTGAGGACCACCACATCGGAAGCACTTTTGATCTGTGCCAGAAGCTACAGCCGAGGTGCTTCCAGAGGGCTTGAAGTTGGTGCGGTAGTACTTCCGGGACATCCTCACCTGATGTTGCTTCTGTCTGGCCTCTTTCAAGGTGCGACGCCCGCGCTCCATCATGGCTAGGGCTTCTTGAGCCACATCTTCAGCTTCACCCAGGAGTGCGAGGCCCTCGTCATTGAAGTTGCGGTGAGCCTGGGCAACCCAGGCAGTGTCATAGTCCTCAGACTCGGCCTCTTCATTCTCATCCACCCACCAGCTGGAGTGACGATTGGCTGCATCTCGACGACGCAGGTCCTCATCGGTCCACTGGCTGCGTAGCTCCTGTGCCACTCGGGTCATAGTGAAGTCGCCCTTCAGGGCTGCCACGATCATGTTGCGCTCGTTGGTGTCCAGGCCAGAATCAAACAAGAGGTACCAGCCCTGAACATACTCTGGCAGTAGTTCAGGGGCTTCCACATTCCAGTCGGCATTCTCGGAAGGTGTCCAAGAGGTACTCCACCAGTCATTTGACCACCAGTCCGGATAACTCCAGGAATCTCCTGAAGGACCTGGACCAGTGGAGCTTCGCTCCTCAATGGCATTCTCGGTGGCCTCAGCTTGATCATCAGGTCGAGCAAGCGCTTCCCGATCATCCTGAATCTCCTCAGCACTCAGGTTCTGACTGCCAGCCAGGGAGGGTGCTCTCCTGTAGTTGGCCCAAGGGTCGGTGGACTCCGGACGGCTATAGCCGCCGTAGCTCTTCTCCCACGCTGGCTTCTTTTTCTCATAGTGCGACATCATCCTGTGGAGTCCTTGTCGAGCTCTTGCATACAGTTCTGACTTTCTAGTGACGTACTCATTCATGGTCTCTCCCTTCTTGCGCCTGGACTGCCGGAAGTAACGGCTCAAATGATCCGTCAGTTCAGGCATCTGTGGAAGGCCCAAGTTTGACCTCAGGTACGTCAGAAGCCGCTGCACGCCTCCATTGAAGGAGAGCCATTCGGGATGCTTGCCCACAGTGAACCTGCGAGCAGTGCCCGTCAGCTCTGTGAGGAGCCTCGGGCCGCACAAGTAGCGCTTGTGCATTGCTATGGATTGCTCCCATCTCTTCAAACTCCTGATATGTTCCGGCATCTCCATCCCAAATGGGCACTCCTTCTCGCGTCTTCTCTATCCTTTTTTGCTTCTCCGCCATGTTGTTCCTCCTATGGCTCTCGCAGTAGGAGGCTGTAGGTCCCTGGTCTCACGCCCGCCCGTAGGCAGGCTCCGCTACCGTGCAAGCGGTAGAAGTGCTCAAGTAGGATATGAAGAGTCACTGGAATCGATTGGACAAGGAGGGGTGATCAACGCCTCATGAATCTCGCTCCGCGGCTCTTTTCAGCCAATACTTCACGGAATAGGCATGTCAACGCCTATGAGTGCTGTGGTAAAAACAGCATATAATATATATATATATATGATACGGTACATATAAGCGTACTTAGACTGTACCCACATGTACCCACTGTTCATCCCATTTATGCTCATCCACCGATGCGGCCACGACCGATGCGCCCTCGCAGGGTCTTCTCGGCGGTGTCTCAGCGCGACACGCTCCTCTTCTACCACCTGAGGGCGTTGAAGAAGACCAGTGCCTTGGTGAATCCGTTGATTGATTTCAGTGGCAATTTGCTACAGTTTGCCATGGTATAGATGGCCCATTTAGTTCGTGATTTACGTATTAAAGATGGTGATTTTCCATAGCTATGTTAAACATTACCAGAGAGTATCATTTATAGATATTTATACCCGTTTCATGATAGAATTGATCAATCACAAGGGGATTATCATTTAGACATATACCTATATCTATGCCGTGTATATATATATATTATACACACATGTATGGATGTATGTGATGGTTGATGGATGATCGCGTTTTGGTAATCTACCAGTTTGTGAACTGGAAAAAAATGCATCTTTGTAGATGATTTACCTATGAAAAACCGGTGTTTCCCATAGCTATGTGAGATTACCAGAGGGTATATGGGATTGTACTGTCCAAGGGACGAAGACTATCCATAAAATCTTTGGGACCGAACATGGACCTGGGGATACGGAGGTGGGTACACATTGGCAGTGGCAGTTTCTTTCCATCATTTAGCAGTGGCTGTTAGCCACAAGCAATGGGAAAACACAATTGATACCCTCTGGTAAACTAACATAGCTATGGAAAATCCCAACTTTTCACCGATAAATCAACTATAAATGGTCATTTTCAATAGCTTTTTGTTAGTTTACCAGAGGGTAAATTCCAGTTGGTTGATGAGTTTGGGGATAGTAGCACCCCAAGAGATGTCATCCCTTGATGTTGGTTGGTTGATGGGTCATAGAGGATCCCCAGTCATCACCAAGAGGTTTCAATACCAAGTCCTGGTCTCATGACGACTGGATGATGTACCCCGGGTACCTCCCCTATTTCAGGAAACTTCCAAATATTATGATAACTCTGGCTTAGCGCATGCTTTTAGGCTTCTCATACTGCTTAGATTCTACAAGCATAAGCAATCACCTTCTGGTGATGGTTATGATGGTGGCTAACAGTATCATGATACCAGAACTTACCATAGCACCAAATAGCATGGGTCTGCTGTACATCTCCATCTGTCACTGGAGTCCTGGGGTCACCTTGGGTCACCTTGGAGGGTCACTTCTTGGATGTCGTTCCTGATCAAACTCAGATGGCTGTCGTTCCCAATTTTCCATTTTTTTTGAGGCAACATGAGTTAAAAAAAAAACAATTCTAGGGTTTTTATGGATTGTTTCCCATGATTTTTCAGGTATCACAGCTATATCATCCGAGCTTCAGAGGGCTTCACCCGGCAACCGCAGCGGCTTGAGGTGACACCATTGTGGTGTGCAAGTGCTGCCAGGTAGTGACGGGGCCCACGATAGCTAAGTTGGTTGACGTAACAAGGTGACTTCTCTGGTTTATGGCAGAGATATCTCAGATCTATAATTCTCTATACTTAATGGGGAAAGCAACACACATTAACTGGGGGGCACCACCTTGTCGGAATAGCAACTTGTTTGTTTAATTTACTGCGTGTGTACAAGACGTGCCCTGATTTCTTTGTAGAAAAAACAGGACCAATTTCAAACAAAGCTGCAGCAAGCAAGAAAAGTTCAAGACTCAGGCAAAGCATCCCAAAAAATAAAGATTGTCAATGAACCTGGAGTTAACATGAATATTGTTCATCTAGGTACGATCTCCCTGACCATGGGGTCAATCACGTGTCTCTACTACCACCTCAAGGTTTGTTAAGCTGGGGTCCCATGCTGTCAGATGCCGGCGGTTGTGGTGTCCTCAGATCCTCAAAAAATCAGGGGAACCACCCAAAATCTGATGGTGCATCATCATATTCGCCATTTCTTGATGACTACTTTTGTGAGTACAAACCATGTTCAGACACAGCCGCATGCGCATGCTATTTGTGGTTTAGACCTCTTCTAGGTCGAGTTCCTATGCGCCAACTGGGTGATGACAAGTCACTTCGAATTCAGATATTATGACATCACTCAGCACATGTGGAAACCAATGCAGTATTTTCTTCACGGTTGATATTGGAGTATATGTTGATCCCAATTGTGTATCCTTTGAGTTTAGTTGGCACCTGGCACCATATTTTGATGGCACCAAGTCGTCGTGAACTTCCAATACCCGGATCATCGCGCCAGGGCTGTGTTCATCGTCAGCTGGAAAAGACGGTACAATTTGAACGAAAGGTGGCACAGAGATACAGGCCCCCCCTGGGCAGCTTCAAAACGGGAAATCATCGAAGCAAAATGGGCCATGGCGGCCATGGCTGAAAATAGCTATGTGAAATGACTGGAGGGTAAGCTGGTAAAAGGGTGAAATTGATAGCCCTACTTTATAGCTTCTTCACGAGCGTAGTTTCAAGGATTTGGCCCTATTTTAAGATACTGACTAAATGGGGATATCACCCAGACATGATGATTGTTGCTGGGGCCAAAAAAAGGATCAGCTGAAGGCAGATTTCGGAAGGAGGTCCTGCTAAGCTTGCGAGGCAAGCTGGAAAGTACGTGCAGGACTTTGCGATGGATGGACAGGCCTGGGAGCACAGAACTCACTGGATAGGGGCCACAAGAAAGCTGGTGTGGGATACCCTTTGGTAACTTCACATAGCTATTTTCAGAATCATCATTGTTCATAGGTAGATGATCGAACTTAATGATCCATACCATAGCAAGCTGTTAGTTTACTGGAGGGTATATCCCATTATCATCCCATTATTCACCATTGTTAGCCCATTGTTAACCCATTGTTAACCCATTAAATCACCATTAAATCACCAGAGGGTAAGTTTCGGAGCTTTCAGGGGGTTCCACGAATTTTTTTCTCGGTGCTTCGAGCCGTGGGAAGGTGCTCGAATTGCGTGATGATTTGGTCTCCCAGCTTGGAATCCAACAGGCGCGAGAATCAGCATGGTTGACATCTTTTTATGTCGACATCCCAAATTGGAGAATGTCAAATATGCGGAAAGACACATGACACACACATTTGGTGCTGCATGTGCTTAAGGCAACAAAATTGGATGGTTGAATACGATAATTACCACTGACCAAATTGGATGGTTAAATAGAAACATGATGAACAACGGATGACCAAAATTGGAGGGTTAAACTTTCACAATGACAAAATTGGATGCTGAAACAATTCACTCATAACCAAATTGGACGGGCACTTCAATGATACAACAGATCAAATTGGATGGTTAACCAATGTTAACCAACCACCAAACAGGACTTATATAATTGCACTGGATGATGATATGGCTATGGATCAATACCTATTAATACCATTTTTAGGGGGATGAACATCCATTTACCAGCTATTTTGATGTTCACCAGGGGGATAGGGTTTTGACCCATCCCCATATTATAGATGTAACAAAGATGACTACACTGGATGCCTGGATGAATCCAAAACAGTAACATTTTGGATGGTAAATTGCTCCACATGACCAGCCATCCCGGAGATAGATGGTGGCAGGGGTGGAACCAAGCAGCTTGAGACCTTAGGACATACCATTCTGGTTATGACTAACATAGCCATGGTTTCTAGATGGCCCATAGAAATAGATGGTTTACCGTTCTTAAAAATGGGTGGATCTTTCCATGGCTAGCCCTGTGAATGTCATAACCAGGTTGGGTAACAATTCTGGGGTTTCCGAGTTTGACCCATACCCTACACACCTGTGGTGAGGTGAACCAATTCTTCACCTTCACACATCTGGGCGAAGCCAATGGGCAGAATGGGCAGACTTCGCAGAGCGACGCTGCTGAGCCTGCTGTTCCTTGCCGCTGAAAGGGTCGGCCCCAAGCCCCAAAAACAGACCGTCACGATCCGTCACGTCTGTCAAAATCCCACATTTAATGTAGCTAAACTGCATTTTTTAGACATGTTTTTTGCGTGTTTTTCCCAGCCTTTTAATGAGTTTCGGACCTCAATAAATTTGAAGTCCTCCCAAAAACAAAGACTTGAACTGCGACTCGAACATCTTCTACAGGATGGGGCCCCCTAGATGGCTAAGTTGCCTTAGTTGCCTGAAAAAAGTGGCTGAATTCTATGGTTTATGGTCGATTTAAGTATAGTTCTATAGTTAATGTGGATTCCCCTCTGGTAAACTGTCCCATAACTATGGAAATCACCATGTTTAGTGGGTAAATCAACTATAAAATGGCCATTTTCAATAGCTTTTTGTTAGTTTACCAGAGGGTATTATTTTACCAACATGAAAGTTTTAAACCTCCAGGGTTGACCCAAAACCACTGCGCGCCTCCAACCGCGTTCTGCGAAGCTCCTGCTTTCCAAGGCGGCGAGCGGCTGGCACCGCCCCGTGCTACGGCGCTCCATGCCGCTCCACGCGGAGGCCGAGTGCGCGCCGACCTCCACGGCCTTTGTGACGCTGCGGCAGCTCTCGGTGACTTGGCGGGGGAGCCAGGTGAGCCACATGGCCTGGTTGAATCTGGTTATGAAATGAGGAGTTCTACTATGTATGTTATATATATATATGGTTAATTATGGTTATATTATATTACAAATGTTATATATTACATATGATATATATATATATGGTTATATGGATCAATACCTATGAACATAGCATTTTTAATGGGATGAACATCCATAAATACCAGCTATTTTGATGTGAACTACAGGGGTACAAGGTTTTGACACACTGCCATATTATATTACAAATGTTATATATTACATATGATATATATATATATGTATTAGCAACATATGGTTGGGGGTTGAATCTGGTTGATTGGTTATGAAATGAGTACTTGGATGTACTTGGTGATTGGGGGGCCATGAACTAACCCATACGGAAAGCTATCAACCAACTAGTACAATGAGATTCGATATCATCCAACTGGCAAAATATGGTCAAACAAATAGAATATATATATATAATATTATTATATATTATATAATATTATTATATATAATATTGTTATTTTATATATAATATAATATAATTATGTAAAATATATTTATTGTTATATTATATATTTTAATATACATTATATTGTATACTATATTATATGTTATATATTATATATTACATTTCATATATTATATATTATATTATATATTACATATTGTATATTATATATTATATTATATATTATATATTATATATATTATATATATTATATGGTATATATAATATATTATATATATAATATATTGTATATTGTATATTATATATTATATATATAATATATTGTATATTATATGTTATATATTATATATTATATATTATATGTTATATACTATATATTATATATTATATACTATTTATTATATACTACATACTACATACTATTTACTGTATTATACATTATATATATATTAAAAAACTTTTTTTTTTGGCTTTTATGCTGAAACTATTTTCATGACAGTATTTTTGGGCTTAGTCACCATAGAATAGGCCAGTTATGGCTTATACATAGCTTGTATATGGCTTACACAGGGTTATACATCCAGGGATTTTATGGTTGTATTTTGTCGGATATTCAACCAACTTTATTATTGGACAGATCATTTTCCTTATTTTTACACATGTTTTGTTTTCCAAAAAGGACACCATATAGGTTCTTATAGGTTCTCCATATCTAGCTCTCGGCATACATATACACATTATATCTGGATCAATTACACATTGCGACCTCACTCTGCGCGACGTGACGAGTGATGGCCACTGGGGGAAGGATATTTTTGTCTAAATGACTGCCATGGGTTGCTTGCTTTATATTGATAACTCATTGCAACTCCACATTTTTTCGGATGGGAACTTGGACATGTGAGGGTTTTGGGCGGGAGAGATTTCTGGGATGTTTTGGTGTGAAAATCCATGGCAACTTGAAATTCAAAGTGATGGCCAAGAAATTGGCGAGTTTGGCAGTTTTTTTTTTTTTTTGACAGATCCAATATAGTATATAAATAGTATATAACATATACTATAATATATAAATGCTATACTATCTTTGATTTTACTGCTACCGAAATGAAGAAGAGATTGGAATCTTGGGTGAAGTCTTTCCGGACCTCGGGAAATTTGGCCAATGAATCTTCAACTTCAGGGACTCAAACCAGAAATGGCTTTCTACTTGGAGGTGTCCATAAAAATGTACAGTGCCTGAGATATCCCATGGTTTGACATCAGTTTGAAACCTCGGATGGGATCAAAATCTATGTTTTTCCCAACAGTTTTTTTTGGGGTTGCTGAACATCCATAAAAGCCTTTGCTAGGTGAGGCCCCTAAACGATAGCTAAGTTGACTTAGTTTACTTGGTTTTCACTAGGATTTCCGGTAGATATATATCGAACTAGTAAATAGAGCTTCGAAACCAATAAACATCACCATCTGGTTGGTGGTTTGGAACATGGCTTTTATTTTTCCCATCATATTGGGAATGTCATCATCCCAACTGACGAAGTCCATCATTTTTCAGAGGGGTGGCTCAACCACCAACCAGCCATTGAGTTCGGGTTTTTCCAGCCATGATGACAGGACCGGGTCATGGCAGAGCAAATTCCTCTCTTCGATGCTGGGGGAGAGTCAGATGGTGTGGAGAAGATCGTGGTGAAACCTGCGCCCGAGGCCGTTTTTTTTTGTGCAAAATTTCAAGAAAAAATACCCTGCAATTGTCACTCATGGGGGTAAAACCGGTAAAACAATGCCATAAACTACCAATGACTGGGAATGGTTTATACCACCTATAAAAACGGTGATTTGGGGTATGGTGTATTATTGTTTTACCCACATTATTGGAAGTTCGTAAAATCCGAATCTACAATCTATAGTAATCATCGCTATTGAATTACTATCATCACTGTTGGAACAGTAAGATCATGTTTCTTGTGGGTTGCTCTTAGTGGGAGATTTTACCGACCAGGATGGTGATTCGCTCTAAGGGCAAAATGTACCGGACACCGTACACCTGTCGAAAGTTTTTTCCCAAAACACTGGGCTTTTCTGTAACTTGTTCCTTAAACCAGTCCTGGGACTTGGGGTGTGGTTTGTGAAAATGCCTCGGGTTGGGGAAAGGAGCTTTCTCTCCACTTCTTTGGATGCTGCAGCCAGTGTCGTTGTGGAAAATGACTACCATCTAGATCCAAGTTGCGACCTTAATTTTTTGATAAAAAAATGTGGGGATTTCCAATGGGGTATCCCCAGTCGTCACCATAGGTTTCCCAAACTGATCGAATTTTGGACCAGGTCAATGGGTGCGGCCATCAGCCCATCCTAGAGATGTGCTGGTAGCCATGGTTAGTAACTGGTAGCATGCCCTCTCCACATGATCTGATGTGGTAAACCATGCAAAATGCAAAAGCTGGTGCCTAGGAAGTAGATATTCTGGAAAAGACTGTGTAGCTGGTACGTACCTGTACATGCTTGCATGGTGGATCCGACTTCATAAATGAGCAATATTGCTTCGCCCAGTTAGATGAGTGGAATATAATATACCCAAGCTATGACAAACAAGCTGGTTGATAGGTTTTTAGAGGGAGTTGTGCTAGCTGGTTTATTTGGGATTCTTATAACATCTTATAACCCACAGTAGCGAAGCCTATCAGCATGGGATAGGGGAGATGGATCACACGGGAACAGGAAAGCCATGGGTTTTTCTCCCCAAATCAAGGGCTTCCCGATTCAAAAAACGCCGTTTTGGATGTTTCTCATTCACCATAAATATGTAGATTTTGGTTTCCAAACTCAGAGGATGTCGTGAATTTGTGATTTTACCCATGTAACCATCGTAACCCAGCAGTCCCATCCTACTGAACTCGTGGAAAACTGAGTATTCCAATTCCAACCATCAACTAATTCATGACCTCCCCATCCTGCAGCAACTAGTCTCACAAATCACCCACAATTTCCCAAATGCTGTCGCTGTTTCCCAAAAGCTGTCATGGGACTCCGAAGATCCCACCAGGCGGAGGCCATCATCTGGGAGAATGTGCAGCTTCCGCTGGACTCCATCCTGCAGCGCCGCTTCATCGGCCGCGCCATCTGCGTGGTGGGGCTGCTGTTCTGGTCCATCCCCATGACCTCCATTCAGGCCTGGCGGCCTCACAGCGCGTAAACTGGGCCTGGTAAACTAAGAGTCTGCAAACTGGAACATGGAATAACATGGATGAAAAATGATGAACATGGAGCAACACTAGATGATTGAGTTGTGAAAAAGCCGATTATACATGGATGTGTTAGTTTTACCAGAGGGTAAAGTGGAGTCTTAAGTGGGTTTCAAGAGAGGTATATCCAGAATCATCCATGATTGCGATTGCATTTGGATCCCTACAAGGCGGGCCTCCATGGCACGATTGCACTAGTCATACCAAGTGGTGAAGATAAACCAACAAACATTTCACCTGGAGGCACCAACTTGTAGTTAGCCAAGGTTGTCCATTGCTCAGGAGTCCATAGTTATCCAACAAAGACTCCTGGGATTTCGCCGGCGATTCCTGGTCCTTGGGCCTCAACTTGGGTATACCAAAGATGTCGGGTCTCCCCAACAGAAAAATGATGGATATGGCCAATGGGCCGATGATACTGCCGAAAAACTGACATGGCCGCACCCAAAAAGAGGGACAGAAGAAGACTTTTCCATGAGAGGTGGCAGTTGAGGTTTCCATTTAAACTTGTAAAGGGGTAAGTGGATAGATGGATAGTTGAAAGTATGGCGCCCTTGATGAGCACTACAAAACTTGGCGACTGTTGTTGTTGTTGTTGTTGATTCAACACTGATGTTTTGGAGCTCCGACCACCAGCAGAGTTAGGGTGGTGGGCGGTTTCAAAACTATTTCAACTGTTGATTAATATTTTATCCCTATGCATGCGATGATGAAGCCATGTGACGGACAGATTCTTGGCAGAACGAATGGTTCGACCACCAAACAGTTTGAAACAATTGGACATGGATTAAGATTCTTTCGTATATCCTTACGGTAGCCCACTACTCCAGCCATGAAATCCCGTGCACTCAACAACCTGACCAGGCCCTTGCTTCCAAAAATGTGCTGAATCACTTGCTACCCAATGGCTGGTTAGACTGGATGGAAGACAATCTCCACATCGCGGCTCAGATGCAGTGGCATCGTATTGCACAGCCATGGCTTGGGGTCGGTTTGGAGCTCAAGCTATGTCGAGGGCAACAGCTCCACAGTAGACATCACCGGGATGATCTATGGCTTTGTCGATATAGGGTACCCCAAAATTCCATGGTCGACAAAACAGTCAGCAAAATTCCGGTATCTTGATGGCCATTTGGCATCATTTGGCCATTTTCGGTACCATCTGTGGAGAAATCCAGAGCACATGTTGTCCCTTCAGACCAGGTGTATTCATTGCTGGCAACTTGGCACAGAGTTTATCGCCAGGTCCTGGGTTTAACCTCTGAGTGGCTAAAAAGGAAAGGGGATGGCCGGGATGGCGGTATTTCATACATCGAATGGACATCATTCAGCCACATCTTACATCCTACAGTTGAACCTTCCTCTGGTGACTGAGGTACTGTATCTTCCTACGGTCGCGCTGCTAGCTGTCTTGGTGCTGCTACCGATGGCCCGGGCCTTGCTCAGGATCAGGTGGATATCCAATGAGCATCGCTTGTGGTGGTCACATAGAGCTTTCGATAAATGGGGGTACCCCAGACCCCAATTTATGGTTTAGTTATGTTTAGTTTATTTCATGGAAAATCCTAAAATCACATGGATGAAAACTGGGGGTAGCCACTTTCCAGGAATCCATCGAATCGCACCTGAGGCGTTGCAAATGATCGCGGTCTTTGTGGAGGCACTTTGAGGGCAACGGCTGGTGGATGGGGTGTATCCCAGTTCATCAGTGGTTATACAATTATGATATATATATATATATCTATAAAATTATATTTACATATAATTGATATATATATATATATACTATATACATACGATAATATATATATATATATACGGCAAATGCCTGGGTTCTGCCCGGACCCGCAACGACGACGGGCGACGCATCATCATCATCATCATCATCATCATCAATCAAAACCTTATTGGAGATCTTCAATGCATGTAGAAGTTTAACGCGGGTGGGAGAATTAAACCCTTATTGGAGATCTTCAATGAATGTAGAAGTTTAAAGGGGGTGGGAGAATTAAACCCTTATTGAAGATCTTCAATGAATGTAGAAGTTTAACGGGGGTGGGAGAATTAAACGCTTATTAAAGATCTTCAGTGAATGTCGAAGTTTAACGGGGTTGGGAGAATTAAACCCTTATTGAAGATCTTCAGTGAATGTAGAAGTTTAACGGGTTTGGGAGAATTAAACCCTTATTGAAGATCTTCAATGAATGTCGAAGTTTAACGGGGGTGGGAGAATTAAACCCTTATTGAAGATCTTCAATGCATGTAGAAGTTTAACGGGGGTGGGAGAATTAAACCCTTATTGAAGATCTTCGATGAATGTAGAAGTTTAACGGGGGTGGGAGAATTAAACCCTTATTGAAGATCTTCAGTGAATGTAGAAGTTGAACGGGGGTGGGAGAATTAAACCCTTATTGAAGATCTTCAGTGAATGTCGAAGTTTAACGGGGGTGGGAGAATTAAACCCTTATTGAAGATCTTCTATGAATGTAGAAGTTTCACGGGGGTGGGAGAATTAAGCCCTTATTGAAGATCTTCAATGAATGTAGAAGTTTAGCGGGGGTGGGAGAATTAAACGCTTATTGAAGATCTTCAGTGAATGTAGATGTTTAACGGGGGTGGGAGAATTAAACGCTTATTGAAGATCTTCAGTGAATGTAGATGTTTAACGGGGGTGGGAGAATTAAACCCTTATTGAAGATCTTCAATGAATGTCGAAGTTTAACGGGGGTGGGAGAATTAAACCCTTATATTGAAGATCTTCAATGAATGTCGAAGTTGAACGGGGGTGGGAGAATTAAACCCTTATATTGAAGATCTTCTATGAATGTAGAAGTTTCACGGGGGTGGGAGAATTAAACCCTTATTGAAGATCTTCAATGAATGTAGAAGTTTAACGGGGGTGGGAGAATTAAACCCTTATTGAAGATCTTCAGTGAATGTCGAAGTTTAACGGGGGTGGGAGAATTAAACCACCCTTATTGAAGGATCTTCAATGAATGTAGAAGTTTCACGGGGGTGGGAGAATTAAACCCTTATTGAAGATCTTCAATGAATGTAGAAGTTTAACGGGGGTGGGAGAATTAAACGCTTATTGAAGATCTTCAGTGAATGTAGATGTTTAACGGGGGTGGGAGAATTAAACCCTTATTGAAGATCTTCAATGAATGTAGAAGTTTAAAGGGGGTGGGAGAATTAAACCCTTATTGAAGATCTTCAATGAATGTCGAAGTTTAACGGGGGTGGGAGAATTAAACCCTTATATTGAAGATCTTCTATGAATGTAGAAGTTTCACGGGGTGGGAGAATTAAACCCTTATTGAAGATCTTCAATGAATGTAGAAGTTTAACGGGGGTGGGAGAATTAAACCCTTATTGAAGATCTTCAATGACTGTAGAAGTTTAACGGGGTTGGGAGAATTAAACCGTTATTGAAGATCTTCAATGAATGTAGAAGTTTAACGGGGGTGGGACAATTAAACCCTTATTGAAGATCTTCAGTGAATGTAGAAGTTTAACGGCGGTAGGAGTTTTAATATTCCCTAATATCTTTGTTGATCTTCCCAATTGAATGTAAAGTTTAACGGGGGTTGGAGTTTAATATTTCCTAATACCGTTTTTGTTTTTCCCATAGGAATTTCGGGTGTTTTGACCTTTTTTTTTAATAGTCCCTAGTACCTTTGCTGTTTTTCCCATAGGAATTTAAGGTTTAATGGGGGTGGGAGTTTAACATTCCCTAATATCTTTGTTGATCTTCCTACTTGAATGTTAAGTTTCGCGATTTGAGAATTTAAAATTTCCTAGTACCTTTTCTGTTTTTCTCATAGAAATTTCAAATATTCTGCTGTTTTGTTTTCCCATAGGAATTTCGGGTGTTTTGACCTTGTTTGTTTAATAGTCCCTAATACCTTTGTTATTTTTCCCATAGGAATTACTGTAATTTGCAATATCATTTGTTTGTGAATTGTAGATATATACGCTGCAACGCCTGGGCAGAACCCAGGCGTTGCGCGTATATATATAAATTACTATGACATATATGTATATGTATATGTGTATATGTACATGTATATATGTATTTATGTATTTATGTATTTATGTATATATGTATATATGTATACATGTATATACGTATATACGTATCTATGTATCTATGTATACATGTATATAGGTATATACGTATATACGTATATACGTATATATGTATATACGTATATATGTATATATGTATATATGTATATATGTATATATATATGTAAATATGTAAATATGTATATATGTATATATATATATGTATATATGTATATATGTCTATATATGTATATATGTATATGTGTATATGTGTATATATGTATATATGTATATATGTATATATGTATATATGTATATATGTATATATGTATATATATGTATATATGTATATATGTATATGTGTATATGTATATATGTATATATGTATATATGTATATATGTATATATGTATATATGTATATATGTATATATATGTATATATGTATATATGTCTATATGTATATATGTATATATGTATGTATGTATATATGTATATGTGTATATATTTATATATGTATATATGTATATATGTATATATGTATATATGTATATATGTATATATATGTATATGTGTATATATGTATATGTGTATATATGTATATGTGTATATATGTATATATGTATATATGTATATATGTATATATGTGTATATGTATATATGTATATATGTATATATATGTATATGTGTATATATGTATATGTGTATATGTATATATGTATATATGTATATATGTATATATGTATATATGTATATATGTATATATATGTATATATGTATATATGTCTATATGTCTATATATGTATATGTGTATATATGTATATGTGTATATATATATATATGTATATATGTATATATGTATATATGTATATATGTATATATGTATATATGTGTATATGTATATTTGCTTATATTATATGTATATGTGTAAGCCAGTCATGCATGGTATTCTATGGGATATCCAGCTATACATGGCTTATACTCCAGCTAAGATTCGTGGGACATCCAGCAGAGAGGTGGTGCTGAGATGGGAGGAGCCAGGGAGACAACTCTCAATTCGCAGGTCCCACCAGCAACATATGGGTTTGTTTGAAAATGGGTACCCCTGAATCCATTGCTTCATCATCATATTCCCCATTCCAATGGCCATATTGGAGTCTACGATTTACACCATGTGCAGAAATACCCACATGTTTTTACGCCATCCACATGTGCATTTTCTTTACTTTACCAGGGGTCATTTGATGCGACCCCCCCCTAGTCAGGCCCGGAAATCTCAGACGGAAGTCGCTATCTCTGTGATGCATAGGTGCGCTGAGGGTTCGGTGGTGGGAACGGCCCTGTACCGAGTTTCTGTGGTTGGGGGGTTGCAATACTTCAATGACTACAATTCTCAGAGATTTTTCGCAGGTCCCGTCATGGTTGTCGTGGGTGGCAGTTTCCAGTTTCGATTCGTTGCTCGGGAGGGGCCTTAGCCCAGGAACTTCTGGTTCCAGTTCTTCTCCTTGTGGCTCATGGCTACTTGGCACCTATTTCAATAAGGTCGGGAGCCGCGGAGCCGGGTTCCTTTCACGATTGGCGCTTAAATGTGTTCCGTTGGACCATTCCCCAGATTTTAATCCATATTTCAATCCAAAAACCGTGGACCATATGGACCTTAGGGATCACTTTCACAGAATTGCAAGATGGGAAACTTGGGACCGGAACCCCCTATATTTGATGGTAAAACCCATGGGTTTCCTTGAGATTTTCCCTTAAACCAATCCATTGACATATGGTGTTCCTATGGTTTTCCCATGGTTTTCCTATGGCTTTCCCATGGTTTTCCCATGGTTTTCCTATGGTTTTCCGGTTTTCCTATGGTTTTCCGGTTTTCCTATGGTTTTCCGGTTTTCCTATGGTTTTCCCATGGATCACTTGAATCTGGATCGACTTTTTGAGGTCTTCACCAGCTCCTTGTTGCACTCCTTCCTGCAGATCATGGACCATCCCAGATGTCGCTGGGCTGCTGAGAACCTGAGAACTGGAAGGGGAGCACGGATGGGATAAATGGAATGTATATATATATATATAGTCCATATGAATCATATATATATATAATATATATCTAATCCATATGAATTATATATATATATAATCCCTTCCTCCTATTACTAAACCCCTCCCAAATACTAAAAACTAGTGTCCATCTCCAATTTTGGAAAATTTCAGATTGGCCAATTTGACTTTTAATTGATCCCCTTTAGAAAACAATTTAAACATCAACCTACCATTTGTGGGTTTTCCCCCCTAATACTAAAAACTAGTTCACCCCGGGGTGTTTATTATTAGGGTCCGTCCGATTTTTTTAAGTTTTTTATATTCCTTACTGTAAGGTTTTTAATTTAGTATTAGGGGGAAGCTTCGAAATCCAATTTTTGGCAATATTTTAATCGCCGTATATAAAGAAATTTAATTGATTTTGAGAGGGGAAAACATAAATTTTATTATTAAGGGTTTAATTTTATTAATAGGGTTTCTTAATAATAAATGCCACCCTAATACTTAAAACTACCTGCCGTGTTTAGTAATGGGGGGGGCGTTTAGTATTAGGAGGAAGGGATTATATACCTATATATATATATGTATACATACATGAATGCATGAATACAAAAATACATGAACCCATGAATACATAAATACATGAATACATGAGTACATGAATACATGAATACATGACTACATGACTACATGACTACATGACTACATGACTACATGACTACATGACTACATGACTACATGACTACATGACTACATGAATACATGAATACATGAATACATGCATGCATGCATGCATGCATACAGACACGCATACACACATACACACACATGCACACACACACATGCACACACATGCACACATACATACATGCATACATGCTTACATGCTTACATGCATACATGCACACATGCACACATGCACACAGGCATACATGCACACATACACACATACACACATACATACATACAGACATACAGACATACAGCCATACATGCATGGAGCCATACATGCATGAAGACGTACATGCATCCATGCATGCATGCATGCATGCATGCATACATACATACACACATACACACACATACACATACACACATACACACATACACAAATACACACATACACACATGCATACATACGCACATACATACGCACATACGTACGCACATACATACGCACATACATACAGACATACATGTGCACATACATACAGACACACATACACACATGCATGCATGCATGCATGCATGCATGTTTGCATGCATGCATACATACGCACATACATGCGCACATAGATACGCACATACATATGCACATACATACGCACATACATACGCACATACATACGCACATAAATACGCACAGACAAACCCACATACATATGCACATACATTCGCACATACATACGCACATACATACGCACATACATACACACATACATACGTACATGCACACACACATACATACCCACTTACACATGCACATACATACCTACATACACACATACATACAAACATACATACACGCATACAAACACTCATACATACACACATACATACACACATACATACACACATGCATACATATACATACACATACACACACATACAGACACATACAGACACATACATAGACATATATACACACATACATACGCACATGCATACACACATACAAACACATACATACACATACATCACACATACATACACATACATACACATACATACACATACATAGACATACATACACATACATACACATACATATGCACACATATCCATACATAGACATACATAGACATACATAGACATACATAGACATACATGTACCTAAATATACGTACATATACATACGTATACATACATACACATACATAGACATACAAAGACATATATAGACATACATATACATACATAGACATAGATAGACATACATAGCTATACATAGACATACATAGAAATACATAGACATACATATACATACATACACATACATACACATACATATACATATGCATACATATGCATACATATACATACATATGCATACATATACATACATATGCATACATATACATACAGATACATACTTACAGATACATAGACATACATACAGATACATAGACATACATAGGCATACATAGACATACATACACATATAGTGACATACATACAGTTACATACATACAGTTACATACAACCAGTTACATACAAACAGTTACATACATACAGTTTCATACATACAGTTCCACATACATACAGTTACATACACACAGTTACATACATACAGATACATACAAACAGATACATACAAACAGTTACATACACACAGTTACATACATACAGTTACATACATACAGTTACATACATACAGATACATACAGATACATACAGATACATACAGATGCATACAGATACATACAGATACATACAGATACATACAGGTACATACAGATACATACAGATACATACAGATACACACAGATACATACAGATACATACAGATACATGCAGATACATACAGATACATACAGATACATACAGATACATACAGATACATACAGATACATACACATACATACAGATACATACAGATACATACAGATACATACAGATACATACAGATACATACAGATACATACAGGTACATACAGATACATACAGATACATACAGATACATACAGATACATACAGATACATACAGATACATACAGATACATACAGATACATACAGATACATACAGATACATACAGATACATGCAGATACATGCAGATACATGCAGATACATGCAGATACATGCAGATACATGCAGATACATGCAGATGCATGCATGCATGCATGCATGCATGCATACATACATACATACATACATACATACATACATACACACACACATACATACACACATACATACACACATACACACACATATACATATATATATATACATATACATATACTTATACATATACATATACATACACATACATACATACATACATACATACATACATACATACATACATACATACATACATACATACATACATACATACATACATACATACATACATACATACATACATACATACATACATACATACATACACATATACATATACATATACATATACATATACATATACATATATAATATACATATACATATACATACAGTTACAGTTACACACATACAGTTACATGCAGTCAGTTACATGCAGTCAGTTACATGCAGTCAGTTACATACAGTTACACACAGTTGCGTACAGTTTCATACAGACATACATACAGACAGACATACATGCACACATACATGCATGCATACATGCATGCATACACATACACAAATATATATATATATGTGTGTGTGTGAAGGTTTCTAAAGAGTCATGGGGGTACGCCCATCCATTTTGTTTTTTTCGGATTTTCCATGAAATAAAGCATCCAGCTATTGGGGTATCCCCGTATACCCCAAACAGAAACCTGGTGAAACCAGGCTTACTAATTACTTGGGATTCCTGGGATATAGGACCCCAAGTCAGTCATGAACAGAAACCAGAGTTTCTGGCAGTCATCTATGAATGTAGCTTTTGGATGCTTTTGGCAAACTTTGGGCTCCAGATGCGCAGTGGTTTTTTCAGCGACCTTGTCATGGCAGCCCTCCGATACTTGAACAACTTTGTATATGAGGAACCAATTCCACAACTTGGTGGCACGGGACATGCTACGGAGGAGATAGAGGAAAAGGAGACGCAGGCTTCCAGCTATGTTGCTGAGTCGGAGGGCATATGCAGCGCCACCTTTGGTGAGATGTCCCGGGAACCACAGCTGACTCGCTCGACCAACAAAGGCAGCCGCGGTCATCCAGTCTTCTGCCGCCGGGCTTGCATCCGCTTCGCGAAGGGAGACTGCGAACTGGGAGATGCTTGTAGCTTTTGCCACCACGAGCATCCTCGCTATGTAACCCCATACAAACCCCAGCGGCGTCAGTTGAACCACATGGACCCTTGGTCTCTTTTGCTCTGTTTCTTGTTTGTCGCGGCACATTGAAGCGCAGTATAAATGTGGCATGCCCCCCCAAATCTCAGTAACATTCCACATGCGATCTGGTAGCCTGGTAGAATTGAAGGATGCCAAGGAATGGGTCGAAGTTGTCTTGCAAACTCAGCCTAGAAAATATATCTCCACGAACAGACTGTGTGTTTTATGTTGGGCTAGTCAGTCATCGGTCCACATGTATTTTTTTGTTTCTGATCCAAACAACTTCATTCCCCACATCTTTGTGTGGGGTTCTTGTTTTTGATTCTGTATCCCGTCCCGCCTCCGCCGCTGCCCCGCCGCCTCCGCCTCCCTCAACTTTGTCACACACCATCTCACACCATCTTTCATTCGCACACAACTTTGTCACACACACACACACACCATCTTTCACACACAACTTTGTCACACGCCATCTTTCACACACAACTTTGTCACACACTCTCTTTCGCACACAACTTTGTCACACACCATCTTTCACACACAACTGTGATCTGCATGCACTGCCTTGCAAATCACGCTACAACTGCGTCGACCACCACGGCAATCAACAAGATGGATGCAGCCATTACGCTGCAAACTGCAACTCAAGATCACCAAACCCATTGGCACAGCGCAGCCAATCATCTCATTGATTGACTTGAAAGTGCAATTTACAATGGCAGGAGAGAAATGAGCGCAAAACCGTCACAGCCGGACCCGTCGCACAGACGAGGTTCCCCTCATCGACGCCGGGAGCCACTTTTTGTGAGAAAACCCAGGGTTCAGTGAAATTTCCAAGGTCCAAACATCACCTTGATGCAGCAATTCAACTGTGATCTGCAAGCACTGCCTTGCAAATCACACTACAACTGCGTCGACCACCGCGGCAATCAACAAGATCGATGCAGCCATTACACTGCAAGCTGCAACCCAAGATCACCAAACCCATTGGCACAGCACAGCCAATCATCTCATTGACTGACTTGAAAGTGCACCTTACAATGGCAGGAGTGAAACGAACGCAAACCGTCACAGCCGCACCTGTCGCACAGACGGGGTTCCCCCCGTCGATGCCGGTAGCCGCTTTGTGCAAGAAAACGGAGGGTGTCGTAAAAATTTTCTAACCGGAGGACGCGTCCGAGGACTGAGGACATCCCCGCGCAGAGTGATTATGTCTTGTTGTGGTGATTGTTGTGATGATGTGTTGTTTTGATGATGTATTGTTGTGATGATGTATTGTTGTGGTGATGTATTGTTGTGGTGATGTATTGTTGTGATGATGTATTGTTGTGGTGATGTATTGTTGTGATCATGTATTGTTGTGGTGATGTATTGTTGTGATCATGTATTGTTGTGGTGATGTATTGTTGTGATGATGTATTGTTGTGATGATGTATTGTTGTGATGACATTGTTTGTTGTGATGATGTATGGTTTGTTGTAATGATGTATTGTTGTGATGATGTACTGTTGTGATGATGTACTGTTGTGGTGATGTATTGTTGTGGTGATGTATTGTTGTAGTTGTGATGATGTACTGTTGTGATGATGTATTGTTGTGATGATGTATTGTTGTCACATTTCCACTGTCCGTATCAGGCAGTTTAGACTAAACTCCCTTTGACAATAGCATCCAACTGGTCAATCAAAGCATCTTTGCTGCAAAACAATTGGCGGTCGTCAGGAATCAGAAAGCAATAGAAAACACTTCAAAACAAAACACCGCACAGTGGACCATCAACGGTCTAAATTCCTCGGGCACAGCTGCTGACATTAGATGGCAGCAGCGGCGAAACACCTATGGACACATAGGGTTTGCAGCTGACAGTTGCATTGGGCGTGGAAGTCACTAGCAAGATGACAAACATGGGTGAACATTGAGAAACCGAACGTAAATGACAAAAATCGTCTTGTTTGGTTTTTGATGTTTTTGAGGAGATAGGCGAACTTCTGGCGGTGCTCTTGCCACATGTTCGTCGTTCTATTGAAGTGGCCCAGATTGAAGCTACCAACATCATCGAGATGCTGGAAGAGGAAGTCGGTTCAACCCAGGCTCCCAGTGTGGATCAGGCGCTACATCGGACCTTGAGCCGGATGCCTCTATCAGCCCTTCTTGGCTTGATCATGCGGAGAGATGCCTTTGGGGCCTCGCTCGAACAGGAAGTCGAAGTGCTGCGCTGCCGTTTGGGCTGAACATGGTCTTCTGACCGCGGCAGGATTGAGGGGGGAACCCCCTTCCCTGTACAGTGCCATCCGATGTATGCTGTTTTAAGGCAAGCCTCGATCCTGTGACCAATGCGGAGCGCCTTGAAGTCCCAGACTGTTAAACACGGACAAGACCAAGAGCAAAAGTAGACAAATTCCAGCTGGTTGGTTCTGGTCGATTTAAACTGACTTGTGAGTATCCATCCACTTTCAGAATCGTAAGGCTATGATCTCAGTCGAATTTGTCCAAGTGCTGCGCTGCCGTTTGGGCTGAACATGGTCTTCTGACTGCGGCAGGATTGAGAGAGGGTGATTCCCTCGCCGATGCGTGCTGTTTTAAGGCAAGCTTCGATCCTGTGACCAAAGTCAGAGAGCTGCGGAGCGGCTTGAAGTCTCAGACGGTTAAACACGGACAAGACCAAGAGCAAAAGTAGACAAATTCCAGCTGGTTGGTTCTGGTCGGTTTAAAGTGACTTGTGAGTATCCATCCACTTTCAGAATCGTCAGACTATGATCTCAGTTGACAGGTTGCAGCCTCAGACTGGTTGCTACGGCATCAAGGTGTTCCAACGATTCTGATTGATTGGGGCATTTTGAGTATTCTCAACGATTCTCATGCTATTTCCTTGAAACCATTTCTTTGATATCGCTGGTTGTCCAGTAGTACTTTGGCTCCAATTCCTGGTCTTCGAGACTTTTTGTTGTGTTTGACAGGCCGGGCAGGCTTTTTGTTCTGTTTGTTGTGGCAGAACTCGGATTCTCGAGGAATACTCGATGTCCATCGGTTTGTTGTGGCAGAGCTGGGATTCTCGAGGAATACTCGATGCCCAGCGGCTCTCACTAACAGAACTTGGGACCAGGATCCATGCAACTTCAGTCTTTACAAGTCTCAAATGGCAACTATGATCCCTCCTGCAAGTGGTGATTGGATCCATCTGGTTCCGTCTTTGGATGCGGTGTGCAGATGCTGTATTGCTTCGTATCTTCAAGATTCTGTCGTTCTGCGCCGCAGGAAAGAATGCTCAATCCAGAGTCAGAGAGACTGTCAAGACTTAAACTCCCAACGTTTGTCAGTTAAATCATGTCAAATCAGGGTTGGTAAATGCACTTATTTTTCACAGAAATTCCAATAGGGACAATACGGATTATATATATATAGAATATAGGAATATACATGTATACGTGTAGGTGTGTATATGTATATATGTATGTGTGTATATATATATATATTGTGTATGTATGTATAAATATGGACGGATGATGGATAATAGATACATGTAAATGGGGTATGATCAGGTTTTATTCAACTGGTTATATATATATATTTATACTGTGAAACCAGCATCCTGGCACCAAGCGCAAGAAAACATGAATGAAAGATGCAACCTGTTGCAGCTCAATGCGTTCTTTGCAGAAGGAAAAACGCATGTACCATGGGCCCAAAAATTGGGAAGCTGGGCTACTAATTTTAATATTTTGGCCCCTCTTTTTGGGTCCAGAATCCGGCCCCTGTTTTGAGGCCACAAAACACAAACAGGAGCTATTCAATACGGGCAGCAAGTGTGCTACTGCCGCCACAAGCTCACAGCAGCACATATCCGTGATACTCCGAGGGTACATGCCTGAGAAGCTTGCTTTACCACTTCTTTGAGGCTCTGGTTTTGGGGCCTTGAGCCCACCTAGGCTTTGAGAAAAAGCGCCCCCGATGCTTTAAGAAAAACCCACCAAGACATGAGGTACGAATCGCAATGGCTTGGACGTGAAACTACTAAGCATATCGCGAAAAACTACTAAAGCACGAGTTGCGAATCACAATGGCTTGGACGCAAAACTACTAAGGAGCTCATGAAAAACTACTCAGGCGCGAGTTGCAAATCACAATGGCTCGGACGCAAAACCATTAAGAATGTCCCTCAAAAATTGAAGAAAAGAAGGAGATACTATTTCTTTTATTCTTTGGAACATTTTCTTAATAGTTTTGCTGCCGAGCCAATACAAATTGCAAAATCATCCTTAGTAGCTTTTGAACGCATTCTTAGTAGCTTTGCGGCCAAGCCAATACGAAATACAACACCGTGCTTAGTAGCTTTTGAGCACATTCTTAATAGTTTTGTAACCAGGCCAATACGAATTGCTAATTTAACGCTGCTTCCGGGTGATGTATGTGGATATGCGCACGCAAACATGACCCCGCTCCCCAGGAATCAATGTTGCCGCAAAAGCCAGTCTTGCTGCCTTTCCTGGTGTAGCTGCTTTGCAGAGTGCAGAAGTAAGTCAACTTTGATGTCTGGGGGTGCCGGGGGTTGCGCTCAGGGTCCTGTACACTGCCGCTGGCTGTACACTTGTCTTTGCATTGCTTGTGGCAGTCAAAGTTCAACCTCGCATGCTTGCTGCGGAACAGCACGGGCATCCCTGCACCTTTTGAAACGTTCCATTTGGCTTGCGCTGCGACGCGGGCCCATTTTTGGAGCTGTGGGCCTGCATGCTTTTTGCCTTCCTTCACTGCGTACCCTGCATGTAGTTGACATGTATAAGTATATGTAGAACTCAGCTTTATTGATAATAGGATATTCCCCGGTTGCTAACCACTTGCTTAGTTTTGTCTCTTGTTCTCGGGAAATTCACCACGGGATTTGCTTGGCCATGGATTTCTGATTCTTGAGAGGCGCGATATCACGAGTCAACCGGAGTGGGTACCGGATGAGAGTTGGTTCTGTAATGTTTTGCTGTAAATGGGAATGTATAACTAAGGCTTTAAGGTCTACTGTATACTAGCCAACTATCTTTTTGTATCTAAGATTGGCCATGGGTCAGTATCTCTTATGATGCTGCTTTTGCCGAAGTGTTGCGTAAGACACAGCTGAAATCCGCGACATTCATGAGATCTCCTCGCTCAAAATCATCTATGCCAAAGAAACGATGATGCTTGAACGATTTTCATGGATTATCAACCACCATCAGCCCCGATTGGGGGCTTATAAAGTTCCCATTACTGGGGCGGCATTGGAGGGCTGGGGGTGGCTTTGGCCCGAGGTATCTCTGCGATTTTGGGGGACTCCATCCCCAAGGTCTCTGTCCCTTGTGCCAAGTGAACGGGGTGATTCGAAACGAAATGTGGGATATGGGGAGTTCACGATGGACAAGATGTGGAAGTTTCCGAAACATTGTTTTTTCAGCGACTTCACGTGCCTGACCCCATGTGAAACGCTGAAATCAGGTCGGGGATTTGTTGTTGTTATCCAGACCTGCAGTAGTAAAAACCTGAAATGAATTGGAGAATCCACAGAAAAGAAAAAGGTTGGAACGACTGAACATGTCTCAAAGATAAAATTTGAAGATGTTTGGGATCTGGAAAACGACTGTTTTTGGGTTTCCATGTGATTTGTTTTGGGGGGTCATGTTGGTCATTGGTTCAGCCAACTTGCCCCACTCAGGTGTACTTTACATCGTTCCTGGGCATTTTTAGGTCGACTTGTGCATCGAACCAGGGAGAGGATACTAGCCAGGTCTCCTGCATATGTATGCCTTAAGGCTTGAGGAGCGGTTTCATGTTGATTCATTTTGAATGATGGAGGTATGAAAGGAGGTTTGGAAAGAAACTTTCGAGTTACAGAGAGATTAGAACAATGAGGAGCTGCCCCTATGGGACACCACTCTATTTGGTTCCATCTTTCTTGACGGCTGGAACGAAATTGAAGGGGATTGTCTACTCTATATGCTCAAGATCCTCAACTGAATTAGTAAATTCAAATTCATGTTGAAACCATTGGATGAAACCCAAATACTCTACTAAAAAATCATTACTTTTTCGAGTGACCCCCACCCTGAAGCACTGTCTGACACAGTTTCTGACATACCTATATGTTCCAGATTCTGGGTCCCCCCTCCCCGGTACGGTACCCCCTCCCCCTGTGGTGTGGGTGGGCCGGTGGGTGGGTGGGTGGGTGGGGAAGTTGAACATGAAGTAGAAGGAATAAGCGAAAAGTGGTGGATGTTAGCGCCAGATGAGTAGTAACTAGGTGGCTTATACATGAATTATATACGCATATTATATATATACACACACACTTACAGCTACAAGTATAGATAGATAAACTATAGGTAGTATGTACGTGTTTTATATAAAGTACACATGTTGTGTATATATTGTATTGTATATTTAAAATCTATATGCACTATTGTAGAAGTACACATGAGGCATATGTATGTATACTTGATACACAAAGTATATTTGTACCTTGGGGGTCGTTGCTATATATTTTTAGCTCGTACAATATAAGTACGTTGGATTAGGTAGTGTATGTGGTTGCCTCCTCCTCCCTGTGGTGGCGGGTTGTGGGGTCTGGTGTTTTTCGATGTTGCATATGAGTATAGTTTATAAATAATCGTGTGCATATGTGTATTATATCTAAATTCATGAAATACGTGTTTTCTAGCTACGCTACAAGTACAGTAGCATATAGGTTATATATATATGTATGGATATAACACAGGTAATATACTAATCATAGGCAACTGATGAGCAGTATGTAGATACGCTATGGCTTGGCTTGTGTACAGGTATACCAGGTAGAAAAAAAAGCATATAGATACTATGAACGGCACGTATGTTGTATGTACGTAGCATATGGCTTTCAAATGCTGCAAATAGGATGCAAGTCGGAGATTGTGGCTCTGAAATGCAGCAAATTGCAAGCAAATGGGAAGCCGTGACTTTGAAATGCTGCAAATAGCATGCAAATGGTGGATTTTGTGAGGCGGCGGGGCTACCATACCATTGGGGGGGGGAGGGGGGGGCTACCGAACCGTGAGCCAGGAACATATATGGCATGTATGTATGTATATATAAATAAATAAATAGATAAATATATATATATATATATAGATAGATAGATAGATAGATAGATTAGATAGGTTAGATAGATAGATAGATAGATAGGTAGATAGATAGGTAGATAGATAGAATGACAGACAGACAGACAGATTGATTGATTGATTGATTGATTGGTTGGTTGATTGATTGATGGAGAGATTTGGACATTATTTCTGGCATATATTCTGGCATTCTATCTAACATTCTTTCTGGCACTATCTGGCACCTATTCTGACATACTTTCTGGCATATATTCTGACATTTTTTCTCGCATTCTGTCTGGCATCTATTCTAAAATTCTTTCTGGCATTTATATATTCTGGCATCCTACCTGGCATCTTTTCAGGTATTCATTCTGGCATTCTATCTGGCATCTAGTCTGACATTCTATCTGGCCTTCTATCTGACACTCTTTCTGACATTCCATCTGATATTCTATCTGACATTCCATCTGGCATTCTATGTGACATCTTGCGCTCGCAATTGATCTGCCGCAGTACTGAGATCTGGCGCTCGCAGTTGAGGTCCGGCAGTGCCCACTGAGATCTGGAGCTCGCGGTTGAGGTGCGGTAGTGCCCACTGCTGTCTGCAGCTCGCGGTTGAGGAGCTGGACGAGGAGAGGGAGGACGATGCACCTCTGATAAAATTACAGGCTCTCACCTATCAGGTGGGGAACTACATATCCATTTTGAAACGACTGTCCCATAAACATGGGATATTTCTCGTCCGTTGCCATCCGTCATCAACCAAGGTTCGTGATCACGAGGCGCGGCCTGTGCCCACAGATCGCCCTTTGCGGCTTTTTGTGGAAGACCTGTGGGAATTTTAAGCAACAAAAACATGGAGATTCCGTGGATTTAACCACAAAACATTGGGTTAAATACGATTTCGCCAGCACACATGCGGATTCTAACGGCACTCTTTCTCCTTCAACGAATGAATGTGGGAGTTTTCATGGTCTTACCAAGAGAAACATGGGGTATCTAATCAGAAGACATGGTGAGGAATTCAGCAACAATATGCTAATGCTGGGAATATAGCCAAACAAGAATACGGATACCCCCTGGACCCCCCTGGTAAACTAACATGCTATGGACAATCATCGTTTTAAGAACAAAATCAGCTATAAATGGATAATTTTCAATAGCTATGTTAAAGTACCAGAGGGTAGCAACAAAGAGGACGATTTAACTTGGCCAGCAATATTGGATGTGCCAGCGATGCTTATATAGTGGTGTTAGAGATTCTTGTTGCACATATCAGCCTTCTTCAAAACCATAATCTTTAGTCAGGCGTTGAAACCAAACCAACACATTCCAGACTCTGACGTTTTGAACGGGGTAAGCACCAACACTTATCATGGGCTAGTATCCCCATGTTCCCTTGATATTCCCACATGTTACTCCTTCATTTCCTATTTATTTTCCAAATCATCCCCAAAAAACACATCCTGTCTTCGGAATTCTCAGGAATTCAGCAGTTTCGCTCAGGTTTAGGGCACCCACATTTTGGGGATGGGAGTTCGAACAGTGGATAAACTTGGATCAACCATGATTAATGTTAGCCATATATAATCTAAAAAACATGTTTCTGGTGTATGTCCAATTGGGGAACATATGCCATTATCTAAGAGTCCTTGATTTTTACACTTTCTAAGATCCGGAATAGAATGGTTAATGATTGATGAACCGCACATGGTTGTATCTGCATTCTGCTTGACACCATCTTCCCTTGCATGATTCTATGATGTTCTATGCGTCCATTGGAAATATAAAGATGCCGCAAAAAATAGACACGTGGATCCCCATGACATCATGATTGTAAGCGGGATTTAGATTTCCATCTTCTTGGGGATCCCCATGATTGTATAATTCTGAAAACGAACCGCATCCCAGAAACGGTATTCGCGGTTACCATAAATACGAACCGCTGATACATGGGATAAGCTACAGTATGGCTCACTTGTCCCCATGATGAAATTTGATGTTTTTTGTTTCTTTGATGATATTGCATCAATTGCATCACTTTTTGCTGCTTAAACTATCCATATATTGGGTTAGGGTTCAAACCCCATTTTTGGACACGTCCATATCTTTGTACTTCTTTGTGAGTAAACATTAGTTCCCTATCTGCCAGGATAGGCATCAGTTTGCCCCTACTGCTACTTCGACCCGAAAGCCTTTACTCGCTGTTCGCCCCGGCCCTAGCTACGCCACAGCATCGACGAGTTGCCGTGAAAATCAGGGTCCAAATGCTCACACCACAACAACACTGATGTCTATGTTCCGGGCCAAAAACTCTTCAACCCCATTCACGTCCTATGAAAACCCTGGATGCATCTTTATGCTGATGTTCCTGATCTGTTTGAAATCTGGCCCCCCCACAGCCCCAGCGCTCCTTTCTGTGCCGAGCCGAGTTTTGGAAATCCACAAGTGGCAAAGACAGTCAAAGCACTGAGACGGACTCCGACAGCAACAGCGAGGAGCTTGGGGAGGCCCGCATGTCCAGTGCCGGTGTGTGAAAGTGGGGGATGAGCCCCCAACTTATGGCAACTTTAATGGTGGTATTATAAATTAGTGGATTTTTGGGTATCCAATCTTCAGACAAACCAATATGAGGCATTTTTTGTGAGTTTCTGGGGGCCGTGAAGTTGAACATTCGGATGTCCTTCCCCACTGCATTGTTGGTCAATAAGGGAGTGTATATAACTCTTACATAGCTCACCCTGGAACAACAAGCTGGCAAGTAATGGAATCCTGTATGCCAAGACGTTTTTTTGGTCGATTTTCGGACATGATTCATTGATTATGTCATTAATTGATGTATATGTTGGGATAATCCTTTACCGTAATATTCTATACTGCAGCCCCTAGAAACACTGGTCTAGCCGCGGATCTGTTCATTTTGGGGGTATAGAGTTCACATCACCAATATGGGCGTAGGGTGTTTCTTTTGGGGGTACCGTATGTACTTGGGGGGTTCATTTCCAGCTGTAATTGCACATATAACCACAATTAGAAAGGTTTACATCCCAACTTATGGGGGTTAGAATCCCATGGTTATGTTCATTTTTTAAAAGCCCAACTGCATCCCCAACTATAGGTGACTAATATCCAATCTACCCATCAAAATCCTATTCAATTCCATCAGATCGCCACAATGTGGCCCCCAGTTTTAAGTTGGTTTATAAACTTCATAAAATATAGTTGCATCCCCCTAATCAACCCAACAGTTCGCAAAATTATAAACCAACTTTGCTATCACAAATCAGCTATAACTCCATGAAATCCCCAATTTTTCTTGGTGAAATCATGATTTTCCTATTGTTTTGCATAGGGGCCCCGTTGTGAACCACGGCAGGAGGCGGAGGCCGAGGCCGAGCCGGAGACGAATCCGGTCTACTGCTACTTCGCTTCCGAAGCGACTGGCACCGGACCGTTGGATTTGAGGCAGCAGCATTTGGAGTTTTCCTAAGTCATGGGTGTACCCCCAGTTTTCATCCATTTTAGATTGGGATTTGCCATTATACACCATGAAATAAACCATCCATTTTTGGGTACCGCCATGACTTAGGAAGTCCCCATTTGGAGTTCAATCACCAAGCCACATAAGCCACCAATTCTGGATTTTAGCCACACACACATTTGGATTTAATACACCAAAGTCTAGAAATTAAGCCACGGAAATTTGGATTTAAGCCACCAAACTGGGGTTTGAAGCATTTAGTGTCACCCCCACGGAAATATCGAAGAATTGGATGATCTTGGTGATTTAACAACCAAATTCTCGGGGATTTGTCTAGGCAAATGAAGCTGTGACCTCGCGGTCCAAACGTGGCTCAGGTGACGAATATCAACATTGTGTTCGTATTGGCGCTGATGTACTGCGTGGTGGCACCTATCATGATGCCGGCTTGCAACTTGACTTGAACAAGAGGTCTTTAGATTTCCTTTTTTTTTTTCTGGGCTAACTACCTCTCAATCCTTTAATTAATCATCCTTCTCACAATTTCCTATTTAACTTGCAATATTTTGCGGTACACTCATTTTGAGACACGCAGTTGAATAGTGGTTAATCCCCCCAAGGCGTGATGTTTGTGAATGAAGTGTCAGGAGTGGAGTGACCCTAGTTATGTCGGTGCTAAGAAGGTGCAAGACTCCCCTTGCCTTTTCGATTTATGGTATATAATAAAGTGCGAAAAGATAGAAAAGAACCATTGAGCCAATAAGTTAGTAGGACTAAACATTTCTTTCTTTTCGGGGATTGCTATACTAGTTGATTTACAACTGCAGTTTGAAGCGTGCCTTTCACCAAGTCCCCTTTGGAAGAAATGTCCAATGTCCCTACTACCTGTCCAGTCTTGTCCGAATCTCCCTCATCATACTGGTCATTGAATCAGTGCCAGAGGTTTCTATATAATTAATCATCATATATCATCACTCATGTCATTCATCATCCATAATTTCTTCATGTTTCATCCATTTTTTTCATGGAAAATCTGTCCATCAGTCCGTCCAATTTCCCGGAGGTTTCCTGTACTTCGCCCTGGCGTTCTTCGTCTACAAATGGCTCTTCGTCCACGTCTACACCAAGCAATACGACCTCATGGGTGAAACGTGGCGACTTCGAAGCATTGAATCATTGAAGACCTGGAGATATGGGGATAGGATGGGGATAGGATGGGGATGACATATGTATATATATATATACACATTTAAAAAGATATAGATATATCCTTATATATGGGGATAATGATGATTGGATATAGGGATATGATGATTGGAGATATGATGATTAAAACTGATTCGCTGGAACTCATTGAATCACAAGCAACAAAGAATACTCTTTACAAGGTGGGACGTGCACTCCTTGGGCCGGTTTCACGAACTACCCCTTTGATATTACCCAATTGTGTTTCAACCACTAACCAATTGCAAACATCCGTTGAATTCTTCCAATATATCCCGGGAGTGAGATCTACCAACTCCCCAATGATCCTAATTCCAGTCATTAGCTTCACTTGGATTCTCCACGTCTTTTCTCATATCTTTGCACCTTATCTCCCCATTCTCCGGTTTTTTTTCCCATCCCGGGTATCATGGCGATTCAACCAGTTCGCCCGTTTTGGCGACCCTGACCAACAAATTTTGGGTGTTTTGGGCCTAATCAACAATATATGTATATATATATATAAATACGTATCAGTAAATCAATATATATACATATATATACATATATATACATATATATATATATCGATATATATATATATCGATATATATATATATGTATGTATGTATGTAATGTAATGTAATGTAATGTAATGTAATGTAATGTATGTATGTATGTATGTATGTATGTAATGAATGTATGTCTGTCTGTCTGTCTGTCTGTCTGTCTGTCTGTCTGTATGTATGTATGTATGTATGTATGTATGTATGTATGTATGTATGTATGTCAAAACGCTAGCCACAGCAGGTGTCCGCCTGGACACAATCGGACCGTTTTACTGCCTGAGCACAAATTGTCCTGCGCACGAGATCCCTGGATGGAACATGACCGGATCGGATGCTGGATGACCATGGACGGGATGGACCTGAGAAAATGACTGGCTTCAACACTCCTAAGAATCTCTAAGTTATGTTTTAAAGGCCAAGGATTATTGGCATCAGCTTTTCAAGTCTATGGGATTATTCTCATCACTTAAATCGACGCACGTCGGAGGTTCCCGGGATGAGTGGACCTTGCTTCAGGTCCGGGCCACCGCTCAAACGATCGCACAGCAGCAGATATCGGGTGAAGTCCAAGAGATAGCCTTCGGCCGACTTCACGCGCTGGCGACACCAAGTTTTATATGTTATGGCCCTTTCATCCTGAGCTTGCACCAAATCTGCATAGCTCATGTTCTCAGATTTGTACTTTCCCCAAGTGATGAGTGTGCGGCCCCAAGTTTCCAAATCATGAATATGAGGAGGAAAAGCAAGTTTAATCTCATTAGATTCCTGGGCACTCAAGGGAAATGGACTGGCCAGAACAGGCTCGGAAACATAGCCAGTCACTGGGTCGTGAAGCGTCTCAGAAGGGACCATTGTCACCGGACCAGTGCTCAACCCCATCTTCTTCACTGTGACCTCAACTGGTGCTGAGTCCTCACGGCGCTTGGATCCATCTGACATCACTCCCATTGGCAGCACTTCTGAGATCAAGGAAAAGCCTCCATCGCTGCAGATGCTGCCGCGCTCCACTGCTGATCCAGACTTCGCTTTCTCAAGCAACGATTGCAGCGCCAGCTGCTCTTCGGGCGTCAGTGGCATCGATTTCCGCAACTGACAGGGAAAATAAAAATTGGAGGGCACACAGGTGGTGGTCAGGCTGACTCACACGGCTTGAGATTTCTGTGCTACATGCAACACAACGAAAAAGGCTGGGGCGATCTCTCAAAAGGTGCTGGCATGCAAGGCGATCTATGTGAACATTCCCCCAGGACATGACACATGAATTAACTCTCAGCATAAACTACCTAATCGGTGATGATTCAATGTGACCCTCAAGCTGCTCACTACCTACGGAGATATTCTTGTCCAACACTGAATGCTGATTTGGCAACTGAGATGATCCTAAAGATTTCTGCACATCGGGCAGCTTTTGTTTTTGCCGCTCTCGCTCCTCAGCTTGTTGTTGCAAAACTAATTCCTCAGGAGATATCTGATACCGACCATGACGCACACAAGATCTAAGCAAGTCAATTGGGTCTGCCTTATCTTTGGTTAGGGCATCCGCCAACGTGCGGTTAGTGGGAAGCCATCGTATCACTCCAGCAGTGCATGACAAGGATTCGCGAATGATTACAACGTCAATGCTAGTCCTACGATCATCTATTGAGGTTGGTGCTGAGGGAGAAATAAGGTGGTCAAACAACGACTTGCAATCCGTGGCATAGATCGGCGGGCGATGCTGCAGCTTCGCACGGGCATCTTTCAAAGCAAAATGACCTTCAAGGGTCTCCAACATCAGCAGTGTCAGCCATTCTACAGACCCGCTAGCCGCGGCCATGGCCTGAGCCTCGCCACCCAGTGTCGAGCTGACTGCTCGAGGCAGGCGGTAGCTACGCCAAATTGCTGGCACCCAAGGGTACATATGACCAGCATGAATCTTACGATCTACAAAGGCCAGTACATAACCTGCTTGAGTATGTACTCCAACATTGGCAAAGGCTGCATCTGAATGGCAACAAATGGTGAGTTGGCTTGGATCAATGCTTTGAAACCGAATGGTAAGGTCTTTATGTTGTTTGGCGCGACGAACAGCATTATTTGCATCACGAAGGTTACCAATTCGGGGCTTTGGGAAGCATTGCTGACTCAAGCTCGTTTGCACTGAAAGGTCAGGGCGAGACTGATTGCTCAACCAGTTCAAGGATCCATTGATCCCTCGCAGAACCCTGGTCTGAGAAGCGCCCAACAGTGTTTCAGGCCGTGCAGATTTAGGAATGAAAGCCGGTTTTAAGGTCTCTGCAAAGTGCTGTTGTGTCATGACAATCTCTTTACTGACTGGATCCTGTTGATAAAGAGCTCCACAAAATTCGCCAGCGCCTCGGCGCCACTTCCTGTATGGAAACCTGGGTTTCAGCTGAGCAATTGATTTCTCAAAGATGGGGCCCATGCCTCCTACTGCAGTATCATCTACATGCACGCCCATCACACCGATCAGTTGATTCCCAGCATCACGCAGGGTATACAAGCAGCAGTCGAACTTTGATCGACGCCAGCCAGCAGCGGCAGCTTCCTGGTCAAAGGTTTTGTACCAGGTGGCTGGGGCATCGTTCTGCCCATAGACATTGCCCGTCACTTCAATGACTGCATCAGATGGCACTCCAGGGATTCCACCATTAGGCATCTTGGCGCACAAGGGACGGTATTTGCTATCTAAAGGACCTGCCTCCATGAAAGCACCTTTGATATCCCCTAGCTGAAGTTCCCATCCGAAAGAGGCAAGTAACTGCATCAGCAAGACCCTACTGGGCTGACTGAGAGTGGAGGACTGGAGCATGCCGTCTTGAGCTTTAGTCTCAAGATCGGGATCTAGATGACCCTGAAGGCACCAACGGCTCTTGACTTTGAAAGTGTTCAAATCAGATTTATCAACATGTGCTCCCTCCTCCAAGGGTTTCCTAGTGATGACAAAACGGCTGCCAATGAAACGGTGAGAAAGCTTTTCACGGATGGCCTGAGCTCGCTTTCCAAGATGAACCTTGACTGCACCCTTCTCAAAAATAGTGGACCATTCTGTCAGTTTGGATTCGTTCACCACAGCTTGCAGCTCTGGGGAATTTCCACTTGCTGGAAGTTCTTTGGCTGCTTTCTTGTGGACATGGGCGGCAATCAACACATCAATTTCATCTTGGCATGCTGAAACCTCTTCAACAGATAACACTTCTTCAGCACCTGAAGCGACCTGTGGGTTACACGGAACTGGCTCGGCACCATCCGGAGACTCCAAAGGCCGTTTTGATGCTGCTGATCTTCCACTTTCTGCAGTTCTGGTTTGTTCCACCGCCTGGTCAATCAACTGAGGAACAACTTCACGCATGATTTCAACAAAGTTGTCTTCACGCATGGCTGCAGGTCGATACATGGCTCTATCATCAGACTTACCACACACCCTACGGCGGATTGGACCATAAGAACTGCTTGGACCTTCGGGATCCGACGGTGTTCCACCTGTGGTCGGCTGTGGTCCAGCTGCTTCCTCTACGGATGCAGGAGGAGGAGTTGGTTCCTCTGGTGATTCAGCAACTGGCACTGGCACTTGACTGGGCATGGATCCTACTGGTGGCACCACGGGACTATCCTGCATTGGAGCTTCTACTTCCATCGGTTGAGGATGGCCTGCAGCACTTGGGGGATACCGGCCAGGAACCAGATCTACATATTGATGACCCTTAAAGGTACCACCCTCAATAAGATCTCTTATGCCCAAGAGCTCAGCTTCAGGGGTTTTTACAAGAGTTTTCTCCTCCATGGTGGCAGGACGCAGCTGTTCTGGGGCACAAAGTAGAATCTGCTTACGGTTGGCAATGATAAAGTTTCTACCTACCTTACCAATAACCATTGCAGTTCCGTGCCACTGGCCACCTTGGATGACCGTTCCCTGAGCTTTGGAATATTTCTGCTCTCGCCAGTATGCTACCAGCTCTCCTGCTTGAAACTCCACTGGAACTCGGGGCCTGGCCAAAAGAGCCTGTCGCACGGCTCTATCATCTTGCAGCTCAATTACGGCTTTTCTGGCAGCCGCGCGGATAGCTTGACTCTTCGCTACCTCCAAGTCAGAAAGACCAGCTGTGGCAGGAATCACATGAAGGGGCTCATTTAACAGGTCACCAGGCAGAGAGGGATTGCGACCGAACACGTGCTGGTGAGGAGTGAACCCAAAAGTTTGTATCATTTGATTTTTCACATGGGCTTGATGAACACATACCTCCCATGACGGCTTATCAACAGGGACATGTTCTTTTTGATCACTTTCTCCAACACTCGTGCAAACCATCCACCATGATTTTCTGTGCGACCCAACTGCCAGTGAGTCTCAGCGGCAATGAGATTGGTCACTGAGCCATCATGTTCAAACAACGACTGGAGTGCCTCTCTTACCATGGTGCTGGGTCCATGATGACATTGTCAGGTGGACCGGCCCAGCGAATCCAGTGCTCACTGATGATCTTGCGTAGCAAGGCGGAAGTTTCTTACTCATGAAATGGAATCCACGACCTGAAAACAAGATGCTTGGTCCACTATGTTAACAGCTTTAATTTTCTGTCCAGACTTCCATCCCGGGAGAAACTTCACATCTATGCCGATGCACTGATTGAAGCGAATGTACCTGCTAGTCTTCGCTGGCAAGGGCACATGCGGACGTACTTGATCTTTGCAAAACTCACAGGACAGAGCGCGTGCCAATTCAATGGCTCGGTCACTAGCTCCTCCATGCTTCAACACTCTAACAAGATCACTAGATGATGGGTGACCCAAATTCTTATGGACCTTGGTGAGGGCTTCGAGAATGGTGTCATCATCGCTGGCATGGAGATCTTGTTTGGCAGAAGCCAACACCTCGCACTCATGAATTTCCGATTCATCCGGGACTTGCACTAGCTGCTTTTTGGCTGCTTTGGCAAACATGGGAACAGTCCTGAGTACAGCATCTACAAAACTTGGAGTGTACTGTCCAGCATATGCACTGACGGATCCAACTCCCCGGGCAGAACCAGCTACGACATCGTGGCATGTGTGATCCGGATGGCTCTTACCAGGGCAACATTTACCTAGCGTGGTCATGTCTTTGTCAGACACCAACAACCCAGTGCTTTTGCGGATTAGTTGCTGGTGTGTGGGAAGTCTCAGTCCGTACATGCACATGTGACATTTGCACCAGTGGTGTCGCTGGACAAGCTTCTGAATTTGGCATAACTCCACGTCTTAGCACCAGACGGATGCTCAAAGATGGCTCGTTTGCCGGCATTCACTTGATTCTCATACAACCTGCAACAAAATCGGATGTACATGCGGCTTTCTAGCTGCTTTTGAAGGGCCTCTTGTGGGGACATACGCAACACATTGAGATGATGCCAGCCACCTTCGTAAGTGCATGGGGGACACAACACCAACAACTCAGGAGGATATTCTTGGAGAAACTTGGCAACTTCATCCCTATGACCCTTTTTCCTCACGTTCGTCTTCCGCTGCAGTTTGTCGAAGGCTTCAGTTGGACGGCTAATCCATGCTTTCAAGGCTTCGCCTTCGTTGGCACGCAGGTTGGAGACATCCGTCAAGTTCTCGGACATCTCATCTGACGCATCCTTATCTGGGAATCGCTTGGATAGGAGATCCAGAAGGACTTTGTCTCCGCCCTCCTTTTGATACTTCTCAGGTTCCAAGTGCTCCACTGCTGCAAGAGCTTTCCCAGATAGCAATGTGTAGATGAAGGCGCCCTTTGCAGATTCCGGCATCTTTGTTGATAGGGTCAGAAGTTTGCTGCTGACCCAAGCCTTCCATCTCCTGAACTCCTTGGGATCTTCATCGTTGCCGCTGAAGATACGTTGACCTCCATGGTCTTTCGAACTTGCCTCAGTTGACATGGCTCGCGGGTGTCCTGCCCGGAGTCCGGTCTATTACCGGGCTCCGCTACCAATGTCAAAACGCTAGCCACAGCAGGTGTCCGCCTGGAAACAATCGGACCGTCTTACTGCCTGAGCACAAATTGTCCTGCGCACGAGATCCCTGGATGGAACATGACCGGATCGGATGCTGGATGACCATGGACGGGATGGACCTGGGAAAATGACTGGCTTCAACATATATATCAATAAATATATATGTATCACTTTACATATATATATATAAACAATATATTTGTATCAATATATATATATATTTATAAACATCAATATACTTATATATATATATCGGTATATATATATATCAGTATATATATATCAGAAAAAATAAATATAAATCAATCAATAAATATATATATATCTATATAGATATAATGATATATCAATATATATAAATACATAAATGTATTTGTATCAATATCTATATATCTATATATATATATATGTATCAACATATGTCAAAAATATATTTGTATCAATATATGCATATATATACATATGTATATATATATTTCGATATATATATATATAAATAAATCAATATATATATGTATCAATATATATATATATTTGTAACACTATATATATATGTCAATATATATATATATATTTGCCAATATACGTAAAAAAAAATATATATCTATCAATGTATATATATATATATATCAAACAAAAATATATATGTATATATATATATGTATATATATATATCGATATATATCTATATAAATTTATTGATATATATATATGTATATTTGTATATATACATACGTATATATATATATATATACATTATATCTATATATATATATTCCCATATATATATATTGATTTGTATAGATATAGATATTGATACATATATATATACCAATATATACATATATCAATGTAAATACATGAATGTATCAAGAAAAATCAATATATATATATCGATATACATTTATATATACATAAATATTTATGTTTATATGTCAATATATATATATTTATCCATATACATATATATATATATATATATATATCAATATACATATATTTTTATATATGTATCAACAAATATATAAATATGTATATACAGATATATATATAGATATATGTATCAATATATATATATATTTATTTCAATAACTATATTTGTATCAAAACAAAAATATATTTCAATATGTATTTATATTACATATATCAGTACACATACCTATATATTTACCAATATATTGAAAAATCAATATATATATATATTTGTCTATATATATATATCAATATATATGTATATATATATCAATGTATATATTTATTTGAATATAAATAAATAAATAAATATATATATATATATCAATGTATATGTATATATATATATATATATATCAATATAAATATATATATATATATTTCAATATATATATATATAGACCAGTATATATATATATAGATATAGATATATAGATATATATATATACCAGCGATATATAGTATATATATATTGATATATATATTTATATACATATTTTTCACGAGCACTTCTACAAAAGGGCTAGTGAACATTTCACAATCTGTTTTACCCTTCAGTAAATTAGCATAGACCCTCAAAAATTAGGGGTTGGAAGATTTGTTTCCATTCAAAACGGCTTTCTTCTCAGCATCCAACTGTTAATTTACTAGAGGGTATCACATTTTTTTTGTTTAGTGGTTGAGCGCTTCGGAGCGCTTCAGAGCAATGGCTGTATGATCTTTCGGAGGAACCAGGGAGCTAGAATCAAAACTTCACCACAGAAACCTGTTTTTCATACCTGGACTTGAACTCAACTTTGTTTATTTTCATCAGTTTACTTTAGTTTTTTAAGTTTTTTTTATGGTGAATATGAATCCACTGTGATTCTATTTTTTGAATATCTAATGTATATACAATACACATATTTTATGGTTAATATTCAATATGCACAAATATCCCATGGTTCCACAGCGAGGTACGCCTGCTTCTGGGGCCTCATCGTTGGTGCGGGCTTCGGCACCATCTCTTTGGCCGGCCTGGCAGCCATTCAGAAGGGCTCCAAATCGCCCGAATGCATCGTAGCTTGGCGCGCTTGGCAGCCTACAAAATCATATATGATTGGTATATGATGGGTAATGTTATGGGTAATGAAAAAAAATATATATATAATCTTTGATTAATCATTTACAACCATCCATAGGGGATGTTTTAAAGGAAGAAATGAATGTTTTAAAGGAACAACAACAATTAGGGATTTATAGAGATAATAACTGGTATATGATGGGTATATGATGGATTATATATATATATACAATCTTTGATTAAACATGATACCCATCCATCTATGATCTTTAATCCATCATACATGTAAACATATATATACACACACATCTTGATATATCTAAATCTTTGATTTTATACCCATCATACTAACAAACGAATTTTAAGGAACATGCCATCCATTTTTTTATCTGGTATTTACCATATTTTGGGCCATATGTTCTTGGAAGGATTCTGGATAATTTCGCCAATTTTGGCCTATAAAAATGGTAGCTCCAATAATTCGGTGAAATGGCCATTGAGGGGTTGGGATGGGATGGGTTGTTTGGGAAAACTTAGAGTGATATTTAGCATGACTAAACTCATTTTTTGGGGTGTTGAGGTACCCAAAAAACATGCAACACGTTTATTTGGTGATTTTAGAGTATCAGTGATTCTTGACTATCAAAGTCATCAAAGGAACCAATAGATGATGGGATGAGATACTGACGGGGGCGACTGGACTAGGGTGATGAATGGTGATGCATAGGATTAGACCATTTGATTCTTGAACTAGATGTGTTTTCAATTTTTCTTTCTCAGCTTGAGGAAGCACTATATAAGATGATAGGGACTTGTTTGATTCTTTCAGCACTTCTTTTCAGGGACAGATGATAAAATGGGAGCCAATCCAAGCAGCAGAAACTGTTTGCGGGTGCTGGTGCTTCTCAGCTCAATGAAGGAGGAAAGTGGAACTATTCTTAGAGCCAAGGCATTGGATTTTGGGGGTTGGGTGGTGGAATTCTCAACACCCCTTGGAATAGAATGTCGGTTTCCCACCAAAAAAACAACACAGTTTTCAATCCAACTCCTCGTTCATCTTAAACACCCCATAAATGATCCCACATTTGTGATGTCATCCCCTACTTTATCACCATGGTTTCAGACTGGCAGTGTTTTTCAAATGACCGGGGGACCCTTCTGACCGAAGGCGCTATGGGTCTTGACCTTCGCGATCATGGTCTTTGCATTTCACTGTGCCTTGACCAACCATAAACCACCATGGACCACCCAAGAAAAAAAGAGCATGTTTTAGGTGAGTTGTCATGAGTACGTTGATCAGGTCAAAAGACTATTCCGTATTTCCCAAAGTTCTAAGGTGATTGGCATTACAAGCCACTTGACAATTTTCGTTGCTCAAGTCACAATTTTTGCTGCTTTCACCCATCATTACCTGTTTACGCCGCCTATTTGTCCAATTTTCGTTTGTGAAACCCCTGCTTTAGTGGGTTCAAACGTTCAAACCCATTGTTCTTCCAGAATTATATTGTTTTTTTTCAGGTTATTATAAAGCTGCCCACCAATTGCCACTATATTTTGGCTGGTTCAGAACCATCATTTTTCCTATAAGTCAAAAGACAGCTTTCGCTGATGAACTTCTAATTTTCGGATTCCGTGTGTAAAACGACCATTATTTTTGTTAGTGTAACTGTTCAAACCCTTCTGTTGAACCCCAGCCGCTGAACCCCTGTGTTAACCAATCAAAATTCCAGCAATTTTGTTGGCTAAGATATGTTAAATTATGTATCCACTTAGTTGACTGGAACTGAGCCCCTCAAGCTCTGGTGATCCATAGCAGCGAGATGAAAAAACTCATGTTTCTTGAAGTTTCTAGTCAAACAACCCAGCATTTATCCAGTGTTTCGCCCATGATTTTCCACCATTTTCCTGCGTCATCCTCATTTTTCTTGGTTTCAGCCATGTTTCAGCCATGTTTCAGCCATGTTTGAGCCATATTTTTCTTGGTTTCAGCTATGAATTTCCAACATTTTCCTTAGGCCAAAAGACCTTCATGCCCTTCTGCAGCGTGCTGCCCTACCGCGCCGCCGTGCTGGCGGACGAGACGGCCTCCGCGGAGGTGGTCCATGGTTTCGCCAGTGCCGTGGCCAACTGGTGCTTTGGAACATGGATTTTTTTCATATATTGGGAATGGGAATGTCCATTTTTCAATGGGAAAATCCACTATAAATATGGAAAATCACCATTTTTAATGGGAAAATCCACTACGCCCATTTAATGGGAATGTCCATAATATGGGTTTGTCTGAAAATAGTGTAGCCCTACACCCAATGGTTTTGCTGATCATTATCCCTATTAAATGGCTATTTCATTGGGGGTATGTCACCTCATTTTCAGACATATCCATATGGATGTGGGTCAAAATGGAAGACCGATGTGGGACCACAGATGGAAATGTCTAGTTTAGTATTAACCATCCATAATTTTGGGGTACCTAATTTTGACCCATACCCATATATTGGGAATGGGAATTTCATATATGGTAGGTACCTCCAATTTAGGTTCCTGAAATGGGAATAACCATTATATTCCAACCATTTTGGGGTACTCCCATTTATGAAAACCACCAGTTTGTAATCAGTTTATAATCAATACCCATATGCTCCATGTATGGAATATCTACCAACATTTGCCCTAAAATTCACCCAGTTATGTAGGTAAATATACCATACATGGAGCATCTGGGTAAGTATTCGGAATAATTGGGAATAATTATTGGGAATAATTATCCCAACTGACTAATCATATTTTTCAAAGGGGTAGGTCAACCACCAACCAGATAGTTTTGGTTTGTTTGAAAATAGGATACCCCAAAAGTTGATAATGTTTGTAATATTTTACCAGTAGTACCGTGCAAGACGGTGGCGGAAGTTTCAAACATAAAAAACCTGATGGAAACCTATAGGAGAGCGTGGTTGTTGTGAATCATGGATGGCAGAGCGACTCCACTGCTGGATCGACAAATGGTTGGATTGTCGGGCTGCCCATCTTTCTATCTTTCCATGTCTGTCTATCTGTCTATCTATCTATCTATCGATCGATCGATCGATAAATCGATAAATCGATCAATCGATCAATCTTTCAATCAATCAATCAACCAATCCATCTATCTGTCTATCTATCTATCTATCGATCGATCAATCGATCAATCTTTCAATCAATCAATCAATCAACCAATCCATCTATCTATCTGTCTATCTATCTATCTATCGATCAATCGATCAATCTTTCAATCAATCAATCAATCAACCAATCCATCTATCTATCTGTCTATCTATCTATCTATCTATCCATCTATCTATCTGTCTGTCTATCTATCTATCTATCTATCTGATTAACTATCTATCTATCTATCGATCGATCGATCGATCTTTCTATCTACTAGTTGTAATTAGATCATCATATTTGTAATAATCTTGTAAAGATATGTCTAATGATTGATGATGATCTATTTATTTATGATCTATGTAATTTTGATTATATATGCATGTACAGAATATGTTTGTATATATACACGTAAAGATACACTCTATATATAATATGATTGAGGGTTGTACCTTTTTTTGTGCAATTGACCCCTTGTTGGGTTCGACCCTTAGAATGTTTGATGACAACAAATCTGCGCAACATGAGAAGCCCTCAGATGGCGGCATCACTACAAACGGCGATTGATCGAAGTACGTTTTGAAGACTGATTTGCCCAGATACAGGGATGTTTGCCAAAAAAACATATTCACATGTAATTATATCAATCATATACATGTACGCCAATTTCTGTCTGGAAATTCACATCAGTTACATCGTGTAAGGGAAATCAATAATGTGGTTAAAACAATAGTAACCCCCATGTTAGATGGTTTATAGCACCCATTTATGGTGAATTCGTCAATGGTTTATCATTGTTTTAACCCCCTTTACATTTTTCTCTTGTCACATGCCTAAATGCATCGGGGCAGCTGAGGTGATTATTATCGGGATCCCATTTTGAGCGACGCCAGGCGGCATGGAGATCGATTTGAAGGTCAAACCCAGTGGAAATTTGTGGGTCTCATGTGTACATACTTACATATATATATATGTATATATCTATGTATATTGACATATATATGAACAGAGGATATCCAAATTGTGTTTGATAACCTGAGGGTATATTAATATGTTTCAGTTGCACGTGACAACTCGATGTTGCATAAGCATGACTATATATATGATATACATATACATATATATATATATATATCAATATATATATATATATGTATATACATATGATGCATATGATATGATATATATATATATGATGCATATGTATTGTATGAATGTATCTATAGATTTTTGCACAGACGCAGACCAACTCCACCCCAATTTGATATCTGCTCTGGTCTGTCAATCCAGAATCAAAGAAACATATAGTATATTGTTATACCCCCCATGATTTATATTGTTTACTCTAGTATATAGCCTATATATTTTCTCGCTTCTGGAGGTTCCTTTAAACTGCCCTGTGAGAACTGAAACCCGGACATGACACCGAACAGATGCCGGCAGTGTAGCCATTTGTTGGCAGGTTGTAGGATGAAATCCCATCCCAATGCAACGTGTTCACGTGAGAGCCAGGTTGATCTCCACTTTTCCTACTCGTTGCATCACGTTTATCAGTTTATCTCTCATTTTATGTTGATGTCGCATTTACCCTCATGATGCGTGAAAGCTGTTGCCACTGGGAACATCGTTATATAAAAGGACCCCTTTTTTGGTGGAAATCCATGTTTGTTTTCAGTATGCACATGTGGATTACTGATGAAAGCGCCTTTTCCAAACCGATCGGCTCATCCACCTGATAATTTAGCATGGCCATGGAAGAATTGTCATTTTAAAGAGGTAAATCATCTAGAAATGAGCCATTTTCATCTATAAATGAACCATTTCCCACAGCAAATTGTTAAATTACCGGAGGGTACTCCCCCAATGGTGGCGTTAATACCAAGGAAATGACGGAGAAGGAGACCAGAGAAATCTTAACGTGGCTTGGGAAGAAAACAAGTGCCATAGCAATTCCCATTCAGAAAATCATGGGATTGGTTGAAGGGACAACAGGAAAGCCCTGTTTTTGAGGAAAACCATGGTTTCCTTGTCATTTTTCCCTTCAATCCCGTGAGAAAAGTACAGTCCACTCCTAAAAACTTGCAAATTTGGAACCTGTTCTTGATCTCAGTTTGTCATCACCACGAAGATGCTGATCTACTCGTGAAAAACCGAATTACAAAAGAAAGTTTGGGATTTACGAAGTCCATCCCTCTTATTTGGGTTTGTCTGAAAATAGTGTACCCCTACACCCAATGGTTAATGATCATTATCCCTACTAAATGGCTATAATTGGGGGTATACTGTAGCTGGAGCACACAGGGGGTATCGGGCTCACCCTCCAAACTAATCCAAAACCAGGTGCCTGAGCAGGTAGAGGAGGTCGTTGAAGTAGTTAATCCCAATCAGCAGCGAGGCGACACACAGCGCCGGTTTTGCAATGACCGCTTTGGTCAGGCTGCAACCATTAGGCTCGCCACAGGAGCGTATGATACAAAAAGGGGCCCCCTATCAGAGCCGAGATGCGGTATCGCATCCACATGATGTCATCACCTGACAAGCGCGGCTGTGATCAGTTGCACCAGCACAAAAAGGACTCAGGTGATGACCTACTGTGCTATCTTTACAAGTGCTCTGATGGGCCGAAACGTTCGTACCGATCTGAACATGAGGTGAGCCAGCACTGATTGCGAGAAACTGCAAATCATGAACAGCATGAGCACCAGCAATGATTGCGAGATCATGCAATTGGTCTTGATGATATAAATCTCCAGCTATGATTGCGAGCGCATGCTCAGAGAAATCATCAAAAACACCATGTGCTGTCAGTGGGACAGCGGTATCGCCAAGTGCATCATCCACTTGCTGGATCGCAGTCTTTCCGGACTTTTTGTTGCGCTTCGCCGCCACAAAGTTGGGGTCATAGGAAACTGCCCAATGGCGGGTCTTCAAAAACTTCAGCAAACCAATTCGGCTATCGCCTCTCTTCTTGGTGAAGGCGTCAGCCAGGTCGTAGTCCGATGCAACCCATCTCAAATCACAGTTGACGCGTTTAAGGTTGTCACGCAACTGAAAGGCTTGAAGCGCAGCTCGCATGTTTGAAAGTCCAAGCAGTGGGCTCTCGTTGACTTCCACGGCGTCATAGCCACCACGAGAGTCAGTGCAAAGTATGCCAGCAACCAAAGTGGCCTGGCTTTCAGCTTCAGCTACAAGGTCGGCTCGACGTTCAGGTCGGTGCAAACCAGCTCCATGAAGTTCACTCCACAACATTCTGATTCTGAAGTTTTGGTCTTCAGCTTCCAAGATACTTTGAACCTCGGCATCGTTGCTACCGATGGCTTTCCTTTTTAATTTCCAACTTCTCCAAGCAAGCAGATTCATGAGGATGACTCTTCCGCTTTGAACATCAGGTCCAGCAGCTAAAGTCAAAAGTCCACCAGTTGAATCGCCTTGAGGTCGATTGGAGTGGGATTGATCACCCATGGAAACGAAAACAACATCGGTCCATTTCTTGGTGCCGGGCAACTTGAAAAACTCCAGGTTGTGCGGGTCCGCACGAACTTCAGAAACCATTTGTTGAATCTCTTTGGCAGTCTCGATGGTTCCACTGGTCACCACTTCGGTGAGGAGCAAGTTGCAACGGGCACATAGTTGAGGTTGGGTTTGTATGGCCAACCATTGCAAGGCACCAAGCGTGGTTCTGCAGGCAGCTATTTCAGGCTTGGAAAGTGGCCTTGTTGGCTCCATCGCTCAGGTGAAAGAGCGACATCCATCACAGACTCGATGTAGGCATCTTGGCTAACTCGAATGGAAAACTCGCCATTCGGTTGTTTCAGGGTCTGGATGTCAGTTCCTGTCTATAGAAACCTTGCTTGGAGGTTCCCCATCTATAGGCTGACAGGACTTTGCTGAAAATTTCCTGCCATTCTGCACTGTGGGGATCGCCAATGACATGAAAATCATCGACGTGACCACCGATTGCACCAAGCAATCTTGGAAACTTGCCGGTCTCATCCTTCAGCTCGGCAGAAAACCATCCCCATAAACATCTTTCACCAAGGATTGGCACAGCTCCAAGTCCAACGAGCTTCTTGTGCAAATCCAACCAAAGTCCACGTGGGGCTGTTGTTGAACCATAAATGTTGCAAAGCACTCGCATGATGCCAGTGTCTGAAAGTCCAAGTGCAGCACGTAGTTCTGCCACGCCAGTTGTCCAAATCTCTTGGTCAGCTTCAGTAGGTTGAGTCTGCAAAAACGCAGTTGCTAAATCCAAACCATGAATGGGCCACTGGTGGTGTGTGGCAAGGAGGTAAAGTAAATTTCTACCAGCCATGCTTTGCACAGGAGCTGCAGTTTTGAACTGGCGGTCAAGGAGTGAAGGATGTTGAAATCCAAGCAACACTATTCGAGCTTTTGCCTTTTTGGATCCATCGCTGGTGAGGACGGTGCGAGGATCATCCTTGGCTTCTTTTCTTGCTGCTTCAATCTCATCAGGAGGAGTTGGTTTCCATGTGAGCACCCATCTGGAGCGGATAATTCGCCCAGTGTCCACTGCTCTCCTGATCTCTTCATCATTGAGGCATTTTCGGACAGCTTGGTTTTTGAGAAAGCTGTCAACTTCCTTGGCTTTGGCTCGATTGAAGAGCTCACGGTGCTCTGCAGTCAGCTTGGTGAGTTGAACCTCAGCGCTACCCATCTTTTTGGTCATGTAAAGCACAGGGTTGCGCTCAAGCTGTTTCCGTTGACGGTGGGATTCAACGGTGACGTCAAAGGAAATCTTGAAGGCTTCCTCAGTCTCTTGCAAAGCAGCAAAAACATCAAACTCTTGAGCTTCTTGGGCAGCATCATGTTCAAGTTGTTCGACCCATTTGAGGTCATAGTTCGGCCCTCGAGGTCTCTTGGCCTCAGTCTCATCAGGATGTGGCACTGGAGGAGGTTCACGTACAGGAGATTCAGGCTCATAGTCAGTAGGAACATCATCGCCATAGTCATTGACTGGAATTGGTACATCCTCAGCTGGTAAGTCCAGACCAGCAGGTTTGGCAGAGGATGAGCTCTGTGCACTTCCAAATCCAGGGAGAGGTGCAGAGCGTGGTTCGCCAAGTCCAAGTGGCGTAGAACGGTGAACCGTTCTCCAGTCTTCAGGCTTCAGCTCCTTTTTGCCCCAAATCCGCAGGTTTGGAACAGCCACAGTAGAGCCATCAGGTTGAGGAGGTAGTTGTTGAAACTCAGGCTCCTCAGGGCCAGGAATCTCGTCCGTGATATCCACAAACTCACGATTGGGCACCAAGTCTGAAAGAGATTTCATTTTGGTGACATCTTCCTTGCTGTGAACATCATGGTGAAAACGTTCAACAGGCGTCACAGGTCTGACGCTATGAACACTGCATTTGAAAAGTTTCCCATGAAGAAGCACCCAAACGATGTGTCTTCTGGGATCATCTTTGTCTTGGGTCGGCAGCAGCTCTGTGAAAACAACTCTGCCAGGACCGATCCAACCAGGTCGGCTGGTTCTTTTCATTCCACCTCTTGGGCCTTTGTAGGCATCGCTAGGAAGAACTTTGCGCCAAATCTTCACCAGGTCGGCGATTTGGAACTGTCGCAAGGGCTGTCTGGCCTTGCTGTTGCCAAGTCTGGTGAGGATGCGCTGAGCTCTGGTTCTTGTTGCAACATCTTCAGCACGTTGGCGGGCAGCCACCATAGAAGCAAAAGTAGCACGATCACCAAGCTGGGCAAAGAGACGGCGGTCTTCTTCGCTGATGGTGTAAGCTCGGCCAAATGCCCATTGATGTGAGCTGTAACCACTCACAAACTCTGTTGAGTTCAGTGCTGAAGCAGTCAAGGCCAAAGTAATTGAAGGGTCTTGGCCATTGTTGTCCATGTGGATCGCTGTGGCCGTGTTCTTGAAATCTTTCATAGCGCTTTCGACCAAACCATGAGCCCAAGGTTCTTTCTCGGCAGGCATGCTGAGCTCAATGTTTTGATCACGGCAAAAGTCAGCGAACTCCTTTGCAACAAAACCCATTCCATTGTCAGGTATGACCAAGTGCGGCTTGGGAAAAGTTGCAAGCCAGCTTCTGGAAAAAACTTCGATCACCTGAGTTGCGCTTTCGGTTTTCAGCGCAGTGATGCCATAGGGCTCCATGAGGGGAACTGCCATTCGAAGTCGAGTGGCATAGTCAATCATCAAAAGAAACTTCACTTTCTTGTTCAAACAAGGCACGGCCCATTCGGAAGCGTCAAGTCCAAGGGCTTCCCAAGGTCCAAATTGAGCATGTGTTGCAGCTGGAGGCACATTTACCACTTGATGCACCACCAAGACGCAAGCTTTCACAAATTGGGCAGGTGAATTCTTGAGCCATCTTCACCTTCCAAGATTCCAAGTTGGCATCTTTGACAATGCGCGTCAGGTTTCTTGTTGAGCAATGTCCTGATGATTTGTGGAAGTGCATCAGCTTGGCCTTCCAACGTTCACGTTCAGCTTCATTGGGAGGCTCTGCAACAGCTTGTGGCAAAGGTTGAGCCTCAATTTCTTTATAAACCTCATCATCTTCAGGAGCGGCATAGAGGTCAAAGTCCTCCACCTCGTTCACCTCATGGAAGTTCATACGGCGCAACTGTTGTGTTGAGACAGTCTGCTTGGCCCAAAACCGGGCAAAAGATTGGACCATCTTCCAAGGGTAGTAGGCGGATTTTTGAGTCTCACGACCTTCAATCCGTCCATGACTATGTCCACCATGACAAACTTTGCAACGATACTCACTGTGGAAGTGCTCGTCGTTGGTTTTGACAAGCCATTTCTTCCGCAGGAAGTCTTGGTTCTCATCCACCATGCCGTATCGGCATCCATCGATTCTACAATCAAGCCATTCTTGACCATGTCGTCGAAGTAGAGCTTGAATTGCAAGAAGAGGCTTCTGGCTCCACCCATAGCATGGATAGGGCCATTCAAAGTAGATCAGCAGGTCAGGATCTTCTTGTAGAGCTTCGGCAATGAAGTCATGAGCTTCCCATAGAAGACGACGTTCTCGACGACGGTGATCTTCCAGGATTTGTTGCCTTTCAGGGCCAGCATAGTTGAGGGCTGTCCAATTGCACCAATAGGTACAAGGCAAACTCCACCAAAGTCGGCGAGGTCGATGATGACGACGTAGAGCTCGAAGATGTTCCCAAGTGTCCTTCTTGTAGAGGTCGTAGCCAGCTTCCAAGTTGATGCGTCGTGGATGAAGTCCTTGACGTTGAGCAGCATCAGAAAGCCAGGAGTGAGGAGCGCATGCTATCTCCCATAGGCCATCTCGATCATCCAAGGAAAACGAAGTCAAAGTCGAAGTCGCCATAGCCACCATCGTAGTCGCGAAGAGCATCACCTTGGCAGCCATCTTGTGGGTCATCGACGAAGGCTTGTAGATCTTGTCCTTGAAGTCGGTCTCAACGCTGTTGACATTCTTTGTGACGCAGTCATTCTTGGAGGCGAAGTCATACACAGTGACGTTGGCATTCTTTGAGACCTGGGCATTCTGATCAACGTTGGCATACTGTGTCACCTGGGCATTCTTGGCAAAGCTGACATTCTTTGAAGGCTTGACATTCTTCAGGCCATCTCGTTCTCGTTGATGTCCTCCACATTGGAAGCAGCTTGACGTTCTCGAAGGATTTGAGACATCTGTGCCTTCTCCTCTGAAGTCAGGTGCTTGTGCAGCTCTTCCGGATTGATGCCCTCGTCCACCACACTCCAGTGGGAACTTGGTGACACTGTCGATGGAGATGCACGTGTCGGGCTTGCCTTTGCTTTCGGGTAGGCCTGAGAGCCCGTTTGAATCTCCACCTCTTTGTTGATTGCCATCTCAGGGTCTCTTCGGCATCGATCTTCTTTTGCATCGCCAAGCAGATCGCAGCATTGGGTTTGAACTCGCCCATCAGCGGACGTAGTTGTTGCAACATGCGCGACACCATCGCGGGGTTCTCGGTCTTTGTAGTTGCGCTCGAACTGCCTTTCTTGGGAGTGTACTGCAACCTCAGATTGCACACTCCGCAGTGGATCCATGACCCGTGGGCGTTGGCCTGAGGCTTCATCGGACAGTGGGTCCCGAAGCATGGCCACTGAGTTGGCTCCGCCCTCGGATCTCTGCTGTCGAAGGTCATGGTGCGCTCGACATCCAAAGGCCTCGACGGCGCAGGCTTTGGAGTCGCAGCTTTGATTGCGTCCCGAACTTGTTCTTGACGTTGTTCCTGGGCCATTGGCTGAGAGGTCACAGGAAGCGGATGCTTTCGAATTGGGGTTCTTGAGGTCCTCCGTTGGACACATTGAAGCCAGAGTAGCTTCAGAAGTCGCACCAACATGTCCATGTGCTCTTGCATGAAGTGCCAAAAGGTTTCGTTTCGAACATTCCAGAACGTGTTGATCATAAACTCGGTCTTGCACTGCCATGTCATAAAACTCAACTGGGTGAAATTCCAACGTTTGCAACTCTGCAGACTGAATGTTCCCCTCCATGACATGAATAGTTGGATGACCTTGTTGATTACTATGCCCCAAGGTCAGGTAGTAGACAATGTCCCGGATATAGTGACCCTTGTTGTTACATGGTAATTGATAAATATTGGGAGTGGTACTCAATGATTCAATAGCCAAACCAGTGTTGAAGTCGATGGTGAGGGCGCTTTCGGGGCTATCCTTTCCACTCAAATGATCCATTCCCAACAAAACTGGAACCACGTTGTTAGAGTCACCATTCTTGGGGTCAGGCAAACAGTACATGTGAAATGTCCTTTCCATTCCTGAAGCTTTGGAGGCAATTGAAACTCTAAAATTTGCTTGTCCCCAACACCCATTTCCAAAACGAAAATAAGGCCGCATGTATTTCGCAATGGTCACGGCAGCTCCGCGATCTTGAGACAGGACTGCGGAAATCAGCTTCTGGACGCTGGTTTCAGGCCCAGCGCTAGCTGTGGCACCACAATCCAAAAGTCCTAAGTTGGGCTTCATGTTGGAGGCAGCGCTCGATTGAGCTTCAAAATTCTCCTTGATCTCCATGCCATAGAGAGACTGAGACTCGCCCATGTAGGCGTTGACTGCAGGTCGTTGGTGTCCTTGTTTGGACTTGCCCTTCCCTTTCCACATGGCGTTCAGGTCGGCCATGTGTGACATCTTGCCTTTGGTCTTGCTCTTCGATTTGCCTTTGCCTTTCACGTAATAGGCATCGGCCATCTCCCAGTCAACAACGTAGGCATTGGGATATTTGCCCTTGCCCTTGCCTTTGTTGAAACTCGGATGGTACTTGTCGGGGCAGCCTCTGGCAAAATGGTTGCCACCACATAGAAAACACTTGCCATCATTTTGAGGTCGAACATGTCCAAAACCCCTATCTTTTCTAAGCTGAGCAGTTGCACGCTGAGCTTCGGTCCATGTTCTCTGTGCCTGTATGGCTAAGGCCTCGGCCTCTCGTTCAGCTTGAAGAGAGTCTTGTAGAGCAGGATCCTCTGGAGGATCTTCTTCTTGGTGAGGTGAATCAGCTTGGCCATGTTGAGCTTCATGCCAGGAATCCCAGCTGGAATCCCATGACTCATCAGCCCAGTAGCCATCATAGTTTTCATCATCCCACCAACCATGCTCGTAGGTCTCCTCATTGGCCATAAAGGTCTCATTGAAGTAGTTCCCCATAGAGCTCCGCAGTGACGTAGTTTGGCGTCCCAAGAATTGCTCATCCCACAGGGTCTGAAGTGCTCGGGTGACCACTTCAAATTCCAGTGAGCCTTTTGTTGAAGCAAGTATGTCTCGCTTCTCTTCAGCACTAAGACCAGCAGCTTGTAGAAGTCGAAAACCTCTGAGCACGCCCAAAACAAAACTGTCCGCCAGGGAAAACTCGGAAATGTCGCCAGCTTCAAAACCAGGAGGCGGTGAAGTTGAGCCAGGCACACCAACTGACCGAAAGCTAGGAGCTTTGGGTCGCACTCGAGTTGGTGACATTCCAGTTCCATCGCCAGAGCCATCAGCAGCGGCTGCTGCTCTCGTAGGTGAAGCAGTCGCCGTAGGTCTCGAGGTCGACATAGGAGACGTCGCAGGGGCAGCATCAGCAGCGAGATCTTCTCCATCAGGTTCATCAGCATCGTACCACCAATCTTGCCATCCTCCAGCAGGAAGTTCCTCAGGTAAGTCGAAGTTTTTGTCGTGTTGACGAACTCCTTGTTTGTCCTCATACAGTAAGAGGAGCGCCTCAACAAACTCAGAATAACCCAAGGCTTCCTTGACCAGGAAGGTGTTCATGGCTTCTCCGCCTTCACGACGGAAACTGAAATATTGTTGGCAGGTCGCAGCAGCATTCGGCAAGGTCTGCCGGACTAAGGGTGAGGCAGCTAGTTTTTGAAGAAGTTCTCGAACTCCATTCACGTGGTCAAACTCCATGGTCGTCCAGCTCATAGCCAAAAGTCGAGCTGGTCCACGAAGTCTTCCAACCAACTTCGTTGCGCAGTATCTGCGCTTCTCAACAGCTGTCCCACGGACATACCAACAAACTTCTCTTGTATACCTTCTCCACGTTCTCGCACTGCCATCCCAGGAGGGAATTGTTTGCTCCTTCTCAGAAGCCATCCTGCAAGGTGCAGCTAGGGCCAAAGTGGCCTGCAAGGGAGTTCCGGAGCTACAAGGTGCAGCTTGGGGCCAAAATGGCCAGCAAGGGTCTCAGGTCCTATCACCTGAAAGTGCAGAAAAAGGTTGCCAAAGGTCTCGGCCAAAAAGTCCTTGGTGAACAGCACGTAGTCCCAAGGGCCAGCTAGGTTCAGGTCAATGCAAGGCCTCGGAGTTCCAATCACCTATGGTGATGATCTCAACGTTGGAGCGATGCAAGGTCCTGGAGCTTTCGCTCCGCTACCAATGTAGCTGGAGCACACAGGGGGTATCGGGCTCACCCTCCAAACTAATCCAAAACCAGGTGCCTGAGCAGGTAGAGGAGGTCGTTGAAGTAGTTAATCCCAATCAGCAGCGAGGCGACACACAGCGCCGGTTTTGCAATGACCGCTTTGGTCAGGCTGCAACCATTAGGCTCGCCACAGGAGTGTATGATACAAAAAGGGCCCCCTATCAGAGCCGAGATGCGGTATCGCATCCACATGATGTCATCACCTGACAAGCGCGGCTGTGATCAGTTGCATATACCCCATTTTCAGACATACCCATTTTGAGTATGACTGGGGTTTCCCAAGTCATGGGGGGTATCCCCAGTTCTCATCCAGACTTGGTGACTTGGATCGAGGCCTATGAGCGACAGTGAGTCGGAAGTGCCATGTGCTACTAGCCCCTAGGGTAAAAAGGAGCCTCGAATGGAGTCGCTGTGCAGACATATTTGGTAGACATTTAGTAACATTTAGTAACATCTAATATGTCTAATATGTTACAAAAAAGCTCGTACATATCTAATAAACCCATCCCCCGATCATATACTACCATCCATATGGCCCAACATGTTTTATTTGCCCATCAAAGGCACGGTCATCCGCCAGTTGTAGGAGTGTGTATACCCATTATAAATTATAATGAACCCCTAATGGTGGTTGGATGACCATACCCCACATAGCATCTTTGATCATGACGCACATATGCATTGGACACAAAGGGTTGTATCTGACCAACGGAAAAGGTTCAATTCAATGTAATTGACACCAGCTACAGTATGTGGGTATGCCAGCAACACGGGCTATTTGCCTAGCTGAACGTGTAACTATTATAGTTACATGACCAAACACCCAGAATTTGGGAACATGACTGCAACAGAACAAGCGGATATCACCTTACCAATTTGAGCACATGTGTATATGACCAGCATTTGGTATTTGACCAGACTCATAGATATGTCTTACAGAACATTCAGTGAATGACCGATGGTCATCAGTGGAATCTGGTGATAAAATCTACATGGCCAAGTATGACTATACATTCGACCAACCAGTGGCCAAATGGGGAAGGGACCAACACTAGCAGGAATTTTCAACCACTTTGGATAGTCAGCATTGCAAACCAATTTTTGACTTTCCGCCATAAAATATGGATGATTTTCCATGAAATCATCCAGCTATTGGGGATCCATTTATGGAACCCCCCATGTACTGGTGATCCTCTGCAATCACCCAATCCAACATGGTCAGACTCGTCGCTCGTGACGCCTCGTCCGTGCTGCCAATGATGGAGAGCTGTGCCGTCACAAAAAGAGGCGGCGCTGCAGGATCTGCGCAGAACGTTAGCGCAGTTAGCTGCGCAGAGTATCCCCAAAAACGCATCCCATTTCGCAAAAATTTGTGGATTTCTACTCACAATGGTGGTGAACTTCTCATTCTGGTGAAATCACATCTTTGTCCGTTCAATCCACGTTTTCAGCGCCTTTGTCGATTTTTATCCTTATCCCTGTCCAAAAAAAGGCAGTTTTTGCTGTTCCCATCAACATTTTAGATGGTTAAACCCTAATTTGTGATGAATTCATCTGCCAACGTCCCAATTTTCCTCGTTAGAGCCCTATTTTTGGATGGTCCACCGAGCCAAAGTCCACCTTTTTTCATCGTCACGGTCGCGTTTTTAGGTGAAGACACAAATTGGCCGCCCATTGGAAGGATCCTGCCGCTGATCATCTTGAACTCGCCAGGCCGGCAGGGATGGGTCAAGTCGTATCTTCCCCATGGGGGACGACTGAATCAGCCAGACAGCTCGAAGCTGATGATCCAAAATTTGAGGTAGCATGGTACAAGATAGACTTACATATTGTGTTGTACATATAAATACGCTGGTATAACGACTCGTGTTTCGTGTTGAATTTGCATTCATTCAAGTCATGTTTCCACACACTTTGACAAAAGAAGGGGATCAACAAACCATGGATAGGGTGATCATGGCAATATGAACAACTGGAAGCATCATGGCCAACTGATAATAAGGATTCCCACTTTAAAACCATGTTTTATGTGGCAAAAACAAATAAAATGCCTTAGCAGAAATGGTTGGTATAAACTCCATCATTCGTGCGTTTTTTTACTATCAGCATAATCATCTTACAATCTCACATATGATTCGGATTGATACCATCAAATACATTCAAATACCATTGATATCATTCCAATCAACCATAGGCTGAATCATTATCCATTCTACCAGTGATCTATAGTGATCTATAGTGATTTTAATGGATCATATGGCTAGGGATCAATACCTATACATACCATTTTTAGTGGGATGAACATCCATTTGCCACCTATTTTGATGTTCACCAGGGCTACATGGTTTTGACCCATCCCCAATATGGCAACTAGTTAATTTCATAATAGAATAGCCACCATTAAGAGATCATATCCAACCATCGTTCAGGCTCTTGGGCGATCGCATTGCCGATGACCTTGGGCGTGCCTCGTTGGATTCGTTGTTGGTTGGCAGAAAAAAAGGGGGGTTACTGTAGCATGTTTTAAGCGTGAAAATATGGAGAGATAGGTGGGATATGGTTGGTCAATGTTGGTCAACAAAATCAACATTCATCCTCAACATCAAGCATCATTCATCAACATTCATCAACAAAATCATGATGGTTGATGTTGATGAATTGGTCAGCAAATCTATTTTCCGATCATCCTTGGGGGGTGAATCGTTGCCATCTTTAAAGGGTCACCTTTGAAGGGGATTTGGATTTTGATGTGATGAGGGAGGAAGACTAAACCTAGAGAATCCTGGAGAATGAGATGTGATTTTGATGGATTTTGATGGATGTTGATGGATTTTGATGGATTTTGATGGATTTTGATGTGATAGATGTGATGGGAAACCTAGAGAATTTTCCACATTTGCACTGACTGATCACCTAAAATCGCTCGTCCATCCCGTTGCCTTTCGAGGCGAGAACTCGCGAGCCCATGGGGTACGCCAGACTGAGCGTCAGAACTTGGTAGCTGGAAAACCCTCGAACTACAGTACATCGATTTACTGGAAATAAATGGAGGTTTAGTTCGCTGGGAAAACCCCCGAACTTTTCCTGGGTGATGCCAGGTGATGGCCTCATGGAGGCTCATTCCAATTTATGAACTAAGCCCACAAACACTCAGATCACTCAGCACTTACGATCCTCCAAGTGGTAACTAAGTCCCGGGAATGCTGGTCGAAAAACTCTGACTTCATCCCCGGAGGCATTTTTTGGCGGCGGCTGCAGTGCTGCCTCCGGCCATGGCGGGTCAGTTGCAGGGCGGCCTTGCGGCGGGATTCACGTTGCCGAGGTGGGAGCCAGTTAGGAAGTGGTGAAGAAGCCAGGTTAAGAACTGGATAGGCCACATAGAACCAGGTTTTACTATGATTGTTAGCCACTAGGTTTTGGTTCATATCCAATATACGTTGGAGATCAATAAAGCACCAATGTGGCTGGCCAACTTGGGAAATCCATCGGTTCATGCGGAACGGCTTCACGTTTCCAGGTCGGCCATCCTAAGACTTGGGATCCCGGAATCAAAGATGGCGACAATTCCACAGTGATGATTCTGGGTAAATTATAACGACCTCACTGCGACCTAACTATAATAGTTAGTAAGGGGAATCATCCCCAAATGGCCTTAATTCAGGTTGGTGAAATATTATAATTTACCCAGATGATTTTCTTGTGACAGAAACACCTCATTTCATAGAGGATTTTCAATTGCCATGTTTGACCCGACGAGAAGTAAAATCCAGAGCAAGAATTTTTGAGACACATGACTCACGTCTGACTGTGACAATGATTCTGAGGCTGGGGAATCATCTCCAAATGACCGTATTTCAGGGTTTCGGCTATTTTCCAGGTCAGCGAATTTTCATGGATTTAATTACTGTAATTCAGCCAGATATATGGATTTGAAGATATTTAAATGATATCCCAAGCATTATCCCAATATTTCCCAATCATAATCCAGATATTATGATAATTGTAGACTTTTGACTATCCTATTATGATTATCCCAATATTAGATAAATATATCCTAATCCCAATATTTCCCAATCCAATCATAATTGGATATATGTAGACTTCCCGTTACATTTCTTTTTCTGGCCATCCAATGATCCACTGAGGTTAGTACGAACAGCTGCGGGCGTGGAACTTCAGGATCCCGGGCAGGCAAACACTGGCGTGCCAGGGCATTATTTACATGTTGTATACATAGACAAATGTAGAGATTTATCATGATTCATGTACATATTTACTATAGACATATATTTAGAAGTAGTCGTTTTTTTTTTTAAACGTACTTATACTTTGATTTATATAGATCTATGTATGCATATATTAAATATTAACACTTGCACACAGACAGATACACATATTTATATAATACATAATATAATATAATTAAACATAATATAGATATATATACACATAGGCATTAAAGTTTAAGATACAAAGAAAACTGTTCATGTATCAATGTCGTTGCGTCAAGCAGTTCAAACTGCGACAATGCGAAAAGGCACAGATAATCAGAGAATCGTTGGACAATAAAGTTGGATTAAAAAATCGATCCACAGAATACATAATATAAAATATGGTTCAATTAGATCAAGAGATAATAGGATTGTACAGATAGATAATCTTTTGTCTTGGATCTTGAACTCCAGGTAGATAGTACGTTTCAAAGAGGATTTGCTTTCAAGAAAAACTTTACATATCCAAATTACACGAACAGATGTTCGATCTCCAATCAGATATTCTTTCGTGGTGTTCCATTTCATCAGACGATTTTTATATTGAAAGAATCATGTTTCTTTTTGCCAGATGGGTCTGGGGCAACACCAAATAACCATGGGGTCGATGAAGGCCCAAGCGTCCAAGTAGATGCAAGAAGCTATGCTTCCAATGTAGATGTTCGCTTAAATCAAACCAGTGAATATTCTTCATGCTGACCTTAAATATGGCAAAATCGTGTTTTTTTCCTGGTACAGTCTGTTTTTTCTGGTGGCTAAATCCCTTAGGGACTTCACATGACCATTTTTGAGTAGCGTGGCCGCCACAGGCGGATGTCAATGGGATGCTGGTTGGCTTGATTCAGCCGGGCTCCCCGAGGGCCTGAGGGGAGGAAAGCCAGGGGGCTGGTGACTTATAGAACAAGAATGTGGGGATATAACTGGGGAATAGCAACCATAAACTACTAGACATACTAGATTTACCATGGAAGAATTGTGATTTACAATGAACAATGAAGTGACTTGTGCATTACATATACAAACACCAGAGACTTATGGATTTATCCACCAAAGAATCGGATATCACCAACAATCACAAGGGTATCATCAGCAATCAATGGGATAATCATGGGATAATCATGGCGATATGTAACCAACTTGATAGTTGTGTACCCATTTCCAGACAAAGCCATGCAGCCATGGTTTCCATGTGGCACCGGAGGTTCCTGTTGCTCCTGGCCGTAGCAGCTTTGAGAAGTTCGACCGTTTCCGCCAGCTTTCCCCTGCCGTTTCTGTCGGGCCCCGAGTTCGGAAACGTCGAAGCCCCCGTTTGGTCGATGATGAGTTCAGGGATTTTACTAGCCAATCTGGTTGGTGATTTCAACATATTTCAAACATGAATGGATTATTTTCCATATATGGGATGTCATCCCCCAGTGACGAACTCCATCATTGTTCAAGATGGGCACAGCCAGCACCACCAACCAGCAATGTATTGTGGATTTTCACGATCGGGGGGAATCAGGGGATCCGTATTCCCTATCAACCAGCATGTGAAGGGACGACAGAGGGTTTTGAACGCTGCTCAATAGGGGATTCACCAACAATTTAATTAAGCTTAGTGGTTAGTTATCCACGAATTGATGATCTATCCACGAATTGATGATCTTGTACCGATTACCGGCTCTACCGTACATCAAATTCACAGAGCCCTATGGGAAAAACTCGGTTTCGGTAGGGAAATGATCTATAAGTGCTTGATTTCCTGTATCTATGTGAATTTACTAGATGGTACTACCTTTTGGGGTTGAAAGAGAATATTGTTGGTCAATCATAGTGCCTTTGAGACCTTCCGATGCTCTCCACCACTGATCACAGCACGAGGGGTTCAAATTTTGGTCAAGGGGAACTCTCATCACATCCGACATCATTTTTTCTAATAGCGCATGCTATAATCAATTTAACACATATATATATATATGGTCTCGTGTTCCGTGTTCCTACCCCCCCCAATGGTATGGGTCCCCAGGTAGCACCCCGTTCCCTTCTATTTGGAAGCTATTGGCAGCATTTCTGAGGTCCAGCCTCGTATTTGCCAGGTTTTTACTCCCTCAAAGTACCTACGTGCTACCTATAGTTATATTATATATATATTATATACACGTGCTATGTATCTACTTCATATATATATATATATATGTATTTATTTATTTTTATATTATAGACACATACATATATATACATATACATATACATATACATATACATATACATACACATACACATATACATACACATACATACATACATACATACATATACATCCACACACATATATATATATATTATATATAAATACACACATATTCATATTTATATACATATACATACATATATATACACATAGAAATATATTCATATACACGTATATATATATATATAAATACACTTACATATATATATGCATATAAAGAACATATATATATATATATTATACACATGTATACATACATGCATATATATATACATATACATACATATATATACACATACGTATTTACACATATCAATATTATATGTATTTACATATATATATACACAATATACATATACATATACATATATATAACTACATATATATATATATAAATACATATACATATACATATATATACATATATATATAAATATACATATATATATAAATACATTATATATATATGTATACATACATACATACATGCATGCATGCATACACACATACAGACAGACAGACAGACATACAGACAGACATACAGACAGACAGACATACAGACAGACATACATACATACATACACACATAGACACACACATACACACACATACACATACACACATACACAACATACACACATACACACACATACGCACCTATACACACATATACACACACATACACACACACATACACAACACACAACACACACACAACACACATACACAACACACAACACACATACACACACATACACACCCACACATATACATACATACATGCATGCATGCATACATACTTACTTACTTACTTACATACAGACAGACAGACAGACATCCATCCATGCATGGATGCATGCATGCAGAAATATGCACATGGACATAAGATAGATGAATAGATAGATAGATGGATAGGTATGTAGAGATGAGATAGAGATAGAGACAGGCACACATATATACTGTATATATACCTATATATATATATATATGTACACGTATTCCGTACTCTTATTACTATTATTACTATTATTACTATTATTATTATTATATATATATATATAATACACGGATTTTGTAACTGTTGTAACTATCAACGACTATTGTCTATCCTTAAACTGCTATGCAAAACAACCGCCGTCCGTGGTGGGTTATTTTTTGCAGGTTGGGCCTCACGCTGGGCCTGGGCAATGCGGTCAGGGGCACCCAGTTGGATGACAAGGGGGATTTAAGCAGCTTTTATAAGGATTTCAACCGTAAAATATAGAGGTTTCACTGGTTTCAAGAATGATTGGACTTTTTTTTTCATATAGAGTTTTTTGGTTTTCAACAATCAATCACATTTAAAAACATTTGCTGATATATGATAGATGATGGTTGGTTGATGGTTAGTTCGGGTATTATACTAACCAGTATATTGGGGATTACCACAATCCATAAACTGAGAAATCCGTTCTTAACCAACCAGTAGGGGAAAATTGAAACTGGAGCCTGTGTTTTTGATGGTAAAAAAACCATGGTGTCAACCGTCGATTTCCCTCAAAGTTGTGGTTATATCACATGCTATTCAGGAGTTTCTTGGCACAAATGGGACTTTCAACAATTTTGGATTAGAAGTTTTGAGCTACCAATGGGGAAGTATCATACCCAGCAGTGCCGCCTGGGATGTGCCGTGGCCAGCAAGTATCTCCCAGGAAATACCCCAGTTCTAGGGGTGAACAACAGTTGAAAACCACTTTTTGGCTACATCTGGTGGTATCAGCACTTTTCTTGCCTTTGCTGGGATTTTCCCGGTAGGGTCTGAAAGGGCATCGCAGAATTTCGATGCTTTACTTACATACATACATACATACATACATACATATGTATATTTTTTTTACATACATACATACATACATACATACATATATATATGTACATATGTATATATACATATATATATATATATGTATATGTATATATATATATGTATATATACCTATGTATATATATCTATGTATATATATACATATATATATACATATATATATGTATAAATATATATACATATATATATACATATATATATATATACATATGTACATATATATATACATATATATATATTTACATATATTATATATATGTATATATTTACTATAATATTATATATCCACATTTTTGTTGGTGAACTCTCCCATTTTTTTGCCATTTTAGGGCTACACCCCAGTTGCGCCCTTCGCAGAACGCGCCAGGTGGCTGTGGCCTTCCTTCCGCTGGTCCTGAACGAAGAGATGGACACCACCAGTTGCCTGGCGGGGGAAGAATCCCCTCACACTGGGGGATTAATATAGTACCCGATTATATATAATTATATATGATTATAAAAAAATGTAGTTATATACACAATAGATACATATGTATATATACATTCTTACGTGTAAGAATATAATGAATGTGATGAATGTGATGAATGTGATATATATATATATCTACAAATATACACAATATTATATACATACATTTTTTTTTCCCTACGCCCCAAAGTTTGATGATGATCCCCTCAACGCCGGGGGTATTCACCCAGCAACCACTTTTGAGTTTGTTTTCATGGACACCAAATACCAAATGTTCCGATTTTCAGCGGGAAACTCGTCTTGAGAAACCTGAGTTTTCAGGCTGATGGGAAGATCGTTCTTGATGTTGACGTCATTGGGTAAAGGAAAATGATAGTACCTGGGGTCTGGATACCACCTACGAATTGCCAGCGTTCTCAAAAAAAACATCGCTGTAGTCATTCTGCCCAAGCTGATTGGTGCAATCTTGTGATAGTCAGTGCATGCTACAACTTGCAACATTTGGACCATGTCCCTCGGGATCTGTACAGTGATCCAACTCCACAGTTCCAGAGAGCCACATTAGTGTAGCTATGCCATCATAAAACCATCATAAAGCCATCATAAAGCCATCAGAAAGCCACACATTTTGAGACACTGAGGTGTGCTGGTACCCTTGGTGAGCTTTATCCTCATGGGATGTATAGCGCCTCGGCTGTGTGACACCGCAAGTTGTTTCTGTGGGGGATCCCCAAGTCGTCACCATGGCTTTCAATACTAAAATGGGACATAATTTTGGATAATTTGGCTGTAATTAGCTTCAAAATTAGGAAACCTCCACATTGTTTCTATCCATTTGTCTCTAACTTCGTAGCTCAAACAAAGGAATTTTGGGTGCCCAATTCAGCCAGAGTTTGCTAAAAACCCGCTCCCCATTTGGCACCCGAGCCATCCAGACAGTTGTCCCGAGATTTGAGGATGTTTTACTATTGGTGATAATGATAATGGGACTCCAATAGTCATGGGATATCGGATATCGGATATCAGTGATTATTGCCTTTTTTTAATGGTGATTTTTTAATGTTTTGGGATAATCACATTTTCTATATGAATCAATGGTAATCCAAAAAATCATTCACAATACATTAACAGTGATACAGTTTCTTAACTGTTGGGAATCACTATAGTTTCATCACTAAAAGCCGGGAATGACAATCACTATAAAAATCACAATGGATTATTCATGATTATTCATCACTATTGATATGATTAATGTTGACGTGATGAAATCATCCATAGGTTGAAACCAGAATCCTAGTGATGATGGGTTAAGTGATTGATAATCCTTCAGCCAATCCAATCACTATTGATGAATAATGTTCATCACTATGGTTGATGAATAATGTTAATCACTATTGATGAATGTTAATCCAATCACTATGGTTTACTGCCTACATCCCCCATATCATAGAATTGGATGATGGGAAAATTGGAACCGGAAAACCCAATCCATTTGATGGTAAAAAACATGGTTTCTGATGTAGATTTTCCCAACAAAACTAATCCATTGACCATAGTTTTCTTGACCAAGGCACAGCTCTCTTGGGGCTTCCGTCAGGGGCCCTGGATCAGTTCTGGATCAGGATGGGATGGATATGCTGATGGCCCTGCGCTGCTGGCGCGAACGAAAAACAGCAGTGGCGCCATGGGTTGACAGGTGAATTCTATGGTTATTATGGTTTATGGATGTTTATAGTAGCCATTTGTGGTATATATATATACATACATACATATTATATCATATTATATCGACATTATCCAACTCACTGCAGTCTATAAACCAACTCAGAAGTGATTTTGCTCATCTTGTAGATTGTGGATCCAAAAATTGACATGTGGAGCATTTTCATATGGCGCAAGAGGCACCTGACACACCAGGGGAGCAAATCAGCATCCTACAGAACTGGGATGAACTGGGATGAGGCCCTCAGACAGATGAGTCGGAGCAAACCAGCCTAGCCTTGAGGTGCCACCGTCGGCTTTTCCTGGATCTGTTGGTGGAATGTGTCCTGGAAACCTCGGTTGATTTCTTGAGATTGCCCTCAATTCTGAAGGAAAGGGAAACTTGGCATACAAGAAGTAACATTACATAACATGTTTAATACCAAACAATTATATATATATGTTTTTAGAATTTTGGGTGGTCAAAGACGTGCCTATGGTGGTTGAAGAGTAGTGACCCCACCCAAACATGTTGCATGGCTCATCATGGCCCTATGATTCCGGCTATTCTTGAAAAATATCATTGGACCTACTTGGATGTGGGGAAGAATCATACTATAAATTATAACTGAAGATATGTCTTAAACAATGCTGCAATCTGCTCGATATGCCCTGGCGCTTCCCGGGTATATCATTCAGGCCGGTTTCAACATCACTTAGTTGTGGTAAAACGCCCCTACGACATGCTGCAGCCCAGTCGGGGGGCAGACCAATTCCAGCATGCATCCAGGAACATGGGAACATGACACAGTGTCTTTCAGGCAACTGGGAATATATCATGTTTCAACTCAATTTTGAGTGTGTATGATGTCCATTTCACTTCTTCTTCCTGTAGAAAGTTCCGTCATATCTTTAGCCCAGATCGTTCATTGGTTTAAGAATGGAGGGCTATTTTTTTTGGGAATTTTTTCCCGTTTTTTTTTGGGTTTTTTTTCCCGTTTTCTGGTGGAAGGAAGGTGCGAGGAAGGAAGGAAGGAAGGAAGGAAGGAAGAAAGAAAGAAAGAAGTAACCTTCTCTTGAAAAATGAAAGGAAAGCTTCCTTCTCTTGACCCCCCCACCCGCTTTTATTTTTTAGCCGGCTCCCCTTGCTACCTACTATTCTTTTTTTTCACAAGCATCATCGTTGTTTATTTGGTTTCATTTAATCTTGATTGATATCCATCGCGACTTGTGCCTATGTACTTCTTTCTTGGTACGCATTGCGGGGGGAGGCGCTGCGCCCTCCCCCCTGCACCCCCCCACCCGCTTTTATTTTAATCGGTTCCCCTTGCTACCTACTATTCTTTTTGTTTTTCATAAGCATCGGTTATTTGGGTTCATTTTATCTTTATTGATATCCATCGAGATTTGTGCCTATGTACTTCTTTCTTGGTACGCATTGCGGGGGGAGGCGCTGCGCCCTCCCCCCTGCACCCCCCCACCCGCTTTTATTTCTTAATTGACTTCCCTTGCTACCTACTCTCTTTCATTTTTTTCATAGGTATCGATAGGTATCGTTTCTTTGGGTTCATCTTCTCTTTCTTAATCTTTATTTATATCCATCGAGACTTGAGCCTGTGTGCTTCTTTCTTGGTACGCATTGCGGGGGGAGGCGCTGCGCCCTCCCCCCTGCACCCCCCCACCCGCTTTTATTTTTTAATCGACTTCCCTTGCTACCTACTCTCTTTCATTTTTTTCATATGTATCGTTTCTTTGGGTTCATCTTCTCTTTCTTAATCTTTATTTATATCCATCGAGACTTGAGCCTGTGTGCTTCTTTCTTGGTACGCATTGCGGGGGGAGGCCTGCGCCCTCCCCCCTGCACCCCCCCACCCGCTTTTATTTTTTAATCGACTTCCCTTGCTACCTACTCTATTTCTTTTTTTTTCGCAAGCATCGTTTATTTGGATTTTTTTTAATATAATTAATATTTTCATTCTTGCTGCTACTACTACTACTAGTACTAGTACTAGTACTAGTACTACTAGTACTACTAGTACTACTACTACTACTAGTACTACTGCTGCTGCTGCTACTACTACTACTACTACTGGTACTAGTACTACTACTAGTCTACTAGTACTAGTACTAGTACTACTACTACTACTAGTAGTAGTACTACTACTACTACTGGTACTAGTACTACTACTAGTACTAGTACTAGTGCTAGTACTACTACTACTACTAGTACTACTACTACTACTACTACTACTAGTACTACTAGTACTACTAGTACTACTAGTACTACTACTACTGCTACTACTGCTACTACTGCTACTACTACTACTACTTCTACTACTTCTACATTTTTTGTTTTCTTTTTGATCCTTATTTGTTTTTTTTTGATCCCTTATTTTTTGTTTTTTTTGATCCTTATTTGTTTTTTTTTGATCCCTAATTTTTTGTTTTTTTGATCCTTATTTGTTTTTTTTTGATCCTCTAGCCTCCCCAACAACAACCACAACCACAATCACAACCACAACCACAACCACAACAACAACAACAACAACCAACCATCCATCCATCCATCCATCCATCCATCCATCCATCCAACCACAACAGCAACAACAACAACACCATGCAAATCAGAGAGCTTAGCTGCAAAACGCTGCAAATACCAATCAAAACCATCAAACCCCAAAAAACGGGAAAAAAATCCCAAAAAAAAACGGGAAAAAATTCCCAAAAAAAATTGCAGCCCTTTAAGAATTTAGTTAGTTTTTCTATACTATTACTGTGACTATTACTAATACTCATACTATTACTAATTTTTATTGTCAATTTTATATTTAGGGATGGGTCAAAACCCTGGTACCTAGTGAACCCCAAGTCATAGCTGGGATTTATGGATGTTCATCCCACTAAAATGTATCTATAGGTATTGACCCATACCCATTTCACCAACCATTATTGTGGTATTGAAACATCCAATGGATACCCATACCCATACTACCCATACCCATGAAACATCCAATTATTGTGGTATTATTGTGGTATTACTATAACACACTATTATTGTGGTATTTCTTTAGATGTCAACACCCTTTATTTTTCCCACTTCGCCACTTTGGCGCCAGGCTCCTGCGTGACTGCGCGGCCGAGTTCCAGCACCAGACTTCGCCAGCTGAAGGCCGCAGCCGTCTTGGCCTTCGGCCGTTTTTTTTTGGGTGGGGTGGATTTAGAACAACGGGGAGATGTTGATAGTGTTTGTTGATCCACAACAAAATTAGTTGATTAATAGTGATATGATAGTGATTAATAGTGATAGTTGATGAAGTTGATTTGCTGATCATTAGTCATAGTCTGTCATGAGCGGTGATGAATCATGATTAATAGTGATTGATCGTTTTTTTTTTTTCCATAGTGATTAATAGTGTAATGAATCGTAACAAACCAACTACTAAATGGTGGTAACAGTGATAATAGTGATTAATCATGTGATTAATAGTAATTAAACCTGTGGTAATAGTTATTGATAATAACGACTAACTAATCATGTGATTCATGGTGGTTGATGGTTTATTAATAGTGGCTAATATCATCCAAAAAATAGGTAATGAGATTTGGGATATCATTGGGATCTAAACTCTGATGTTCTTTTTGGTTGTTTTTTTCACCATGATTTAACATGGAAAAACATCGACATTTCCCGTCTCCACCAGGGAAACACAATCGCTCGCTCGCTGAGCTTTCTCGATTTATCAATGCTTGGCAGTGATCCATTCGGCCATGGGGATGAGCATAACAACTATAACAACTGAACACAGTAATTGGTGAGCCATGGCTTGCCATGGATTTTTTGGGCTCTCCTGAATTTTCCAACCGGAGAAATTCATAAAGAAAGAGCTCTGGGATGATGAACTGAGACAATAAAACCACATAAGAACGCAAGCGTTACCAATAGCGTCTGGATGTTCCGGAAATCAGCAATTGAAATAGGCTGATGTAGACGATCATGATTCGTTTTGGGGGAACGTGCACCCAACTGGTGCGAGGGCCCCGAGTGGTTTCTCACTATGAGGAATGCATGAAGCAGGCGTGGAGTCGTGGAGCTGGGAAGACGGAATGTCATGGAGCTGACTTGGCCAACAACCTGTGATTTTCTAATGGATCTATTTTTGGGAGTACCAGACTGTACTAATTAATACTAATTATATATTTGGAAGTCAATGATTACCCCATCCCATCTTTGGATTAGATACTAATTAGTACTAATTATATACTAATTATGTATGTTCATTCCCATCCGATCTTTGGTTTACCCCATCTTTCCTGGCTATGTCGCATCAACCGTCAGATGGATGTGGTGGAAACGGCTCTGCGGCATCAACCGAAGCTGTCCGAGGAGGCGCCGGTGCGGTGCTGAAGGCTGCACCATGCCAGGGGGTGATTTTTTTATGGTGATTCCCTAGGAAAACCGTAGGAAACATGGTGATTTAATCTCTATAAACAATGGGCTAACAATGGTGAACAATGGGATGATTTTGGATTTACCCTCTGATAATTTGCTACATAGCTATTGAACATGGCCCACTTAGTTCGTTGATTCACCCTCGCACCATCCCCAAGGCGTCACCATTTGAGAAAACCAACCGATGAACAGTCAAAAGACCTCACAGGGTCCCTGTCATCTCCAGGGAAAAAAATGCCGCGTTTTCGAAGGTTGAATCTTGACTTTCTCTTGGTTCAATCTCCAGGTTTTATGTGGTGTTTTATTGCATTCTTCTTTTGGTTGGTTACATATGATCTCTACTTTCGTTGGACCAGTCCCGTATTTTCATCCATCTATATCATCTATGCATCTATAGAAATCCCATTCCATTCTATCTAAACCAGACACATCGCCATGGAAGCCATGGCCTATTTAGTTTGATACTTACCTTACTAAACATGCTGATTTTCCAACATTAGATAACCACAGGGTACAGTACTATTGAGCTGGGCCATTTTTCAGTTCCCCCTTGTGGTTGGTTACTGAAAAATCCTCATTTTTTTTGCCAGGTCCTCTTCGAATTTGGCCATGTCCTTTCACTTCTGAAGGCGCGGTTCGTGGAGCTAAGCTGGGTATGGATAGCTTCCGCGAATCAAAGGTGGAAACTGGAATTCCCTGCACCAAATGGCCATAAACGGGAAAAATCATCTATAACTGGGGGATTTTCCAAGTTTCCAACTCTTCCACTTGGGTTCATTTGTCCATGACTGGCTTAGGCATCTCTTCCCATCTTCACCAGCTCTAAGTCACAAGACACGGACAGGGGACCTTGACGTCGGGCAAGTTGTACAAGACGGAAGTCAGAGGGGGGTTCCCTGGCAGCACAATTTAGGCGACGAAGCTTCTGTCGGAAGATCTCAAGAAATTCCTACCTGCCAGCTGGAGGTTTGATGTTCTTTCAAAACATTGGAGATGAAGTACCAAAAACCATGCTGGAGGGTACCATTCACCATGGTTTTCATCATCGTTCTTTGGTTTCGTTGAAGCTTCATCTACCAAAATAGGATAATCGGATAGCCGAGTGCAGGAATCCCAGATGAAATCGCCGGGCCTTGGATTTGACCGTACCCAGAGGAGTGTTGCAGTGACAGTGAAGATTCACTCATATATTCTTCAAAAGGACAATGACATTTCCAGGTTTTAAGGCTTATACCATGTTAACTGTTAAAGCCATGCATATATATATATATATATATTATTATATTATATTATATTATATTATACCAATATTATATTATATTATATTGTATTATATTATATTATATTATAGTATAATTGATAGATATTCTATACTGTATATATAGATATTATATATAGATATCACATATATATATAAATAGATATTATAAGTATAGATATTATATATAGATATCATATATATATAGATATTATATGTATATATATATGTATAGATATTATATATATGTATAGATATTATATATATATATATTATGTATAGATATTATATATATATGTATAGATATTATATATAGATAGATATTATATATGTTTATAGATTATATATATATAGATAGATATTTTATATATAGATATTATATATATAGATAAATATTATATATATATAGATAGGTATTATATATATAGATGGATATTATATATATATAGATATTATATATATAGATAGATATCATATATATATATATATTATAGATAGATCTTATATATATATATATGTATAGATATTATATATATAGATATTATATATATAGATATTATATATATAGATATTATATATATAGATATTATATATGTATAGATATTATATATATATAGATATTATATATATATATATAGATATTATATATATATATATAGATATTATATATATATAGATATTATATATATATATAGATATTATATATATAGTTAGATTACATATATATATAGATATTATATATATAGACATTATATATATATATAGATATTATATATATACATAGATAGATATTGTATATATTACATTTATATACATTATATATATATATGTATATATATTTGTTGTTAAAACTAGATATTAAACAACACCAGATCCACTCCATGGGTCAACCCCTCTCCCACTTTCTCCCGAGGCGCTGTGGGACGGCTTCCTCCGCCCCATTGATGTCCTCGATGAGTGATGCCCTCGACATTGTTTTCGGCTACGGAACTGGAAGGAAGAAATTATGGTTGGAATTTTCTGGAATTTTCTAGGATTTTTTTCTAGTTGACAGCATTTATATATTAGACACCATTTATACCCTCTGGTAATTTAACATAGCTATTCAAAATGGCCATTTATAGTGGATTTACCCATTAAAAATGGTCAGTTTCAATAGCTATGTTAAATTACCAGAGGGTAGTTGATGCCAATTTTCCGAATCTTCATGGAATTTTCTGGTTGGCAGTGTATGTCCGAAGAGTTGACAGGAAAAAAAATAGCATTTTGATGCATTTGAGAGGTACATGATGATCAATGAATGGATTTCGAGGTGACTACCCATTTTGTTCAGAAAAGAAAAAACCATATGATTTCTATTGATTTCTCATATTCATATGAATTTAGATTCAAAAATTGGGATGATGAGCAAAACAATGGGCTATTCTTGAGGCTGCTGGTTTCCTTTCCAAGACTTTACCCTCTGATTGTTTCACAGGGATTGTTTCCAATAGCCACATTTCAGAGCTAAATCATCTAGACATGGGTTATTTTTCCATGGCGATGTTAAACAACCAAAGGGTATCTATTTTTTCTTTGGGGGGGGCCACTAGCGGCGATTCTCAAATAGAAGTCATTGCATGCCTGCGATTGACAGACCTTGCGAGCAGCTTGGCTCCGATTAAGCAAGTGGTACTGCCTATTAGTAAGTGGGTTATAGACCACGATATCCCCATCATAATCCATTTACTAACTACTTAGCTAACTCCATGGCCCATCTAACCATGAGCCATCAGATCGCGCTACCAGATACTTTTTTTGTAGCAGAAAGATCGAGCGCAAAGCTTCCAACCATTTTGAACCTTTCCAAAAGGCAGTGATATTGGGTGGGACTTCTTACTATCAAACTATATATACCCATCTCCATTTTACAGCTTAAACATCTTTGACATGAGACTCTTTTTTTTGATGGGAGACAAAAATGCACGTCACGTGGATTTAGATAACCTCATCTGCATGAGATGACACTATATCAACAAAAATGGCCTGTCATTGTTGCTGTGTGCGACTCCAGGACACCCAGGACACCCCCAACTCCACCATCAACCGGATGATAGGTTCTATCCCTATTATGGTTATAAATTATAAATCCTTGACTGTGGTGGATTCCAATTATTTGTCCATTAACCTTGGGGGTTATTTATCTATTAACTGCTATAAATCCCATTAAATCACCATTTCTCATGGTTAAATCTCATGAAATCAGCTATAGATCCCATTAAATCAACTATAAATCACCATTAGAACCCCATAACAAGCCCATCAATCACTATTTTCCCCTGGTTTTCCTTTTTGGTTTCGTAGACCCGGCTCCACCTTGGAGGGCGCCTCATAAATCGCCCTCCTTTTCTCGCCATGGCGGATGCGACGCCGCCAGCCACGATGCGCCTCTTTGGTGCCAATGGCTCGCCCTACAGCGTCAAGGCGGAACGGTTTTTGTTTAACGCAAGATCTGAAGAAACAGCAAGATCATCACATCAATGATAGTGATATTACTATATAGTAGTGATATAATAATAGTGATGATATTATACTATCTGAACAAACATCATTGATGTTATATAACATCATAATGGTACTATATCATCACTATTATGGTATTATGGTATTATAACACTATTACGGTATTATGATATAATATTATAGTGATGAATTATACCACAATAGTGTTATAATACCGTAGTAGTGATACCATAATAGTGTTATAATACATTGATGTGATATAATAGTGATGTTATTATAGTGTTATTATAGTGATATAATAGTGATATAATAGTGTTATAATACCATAATAGTGATACCATAATAGTGTTATAATACATTGTAGTGATGAAAAAATACTATAGTCATGAATTATAGTTATATTACTATAACATAGTGTTATAATACCTTAATAGTGTTCTATTGCAATTGTATATTATAATGTATGTACCTACTATTGTAGTAAAAACAAGTGCTATATTACTCTATTATAGACTTATAGACCATATTAAATAAGCATGACTCATGGGATATAATACTATGATAGTGCTATATTACTATGTTACTATAGTACTATATAGTACAATATCTAAAACACTATTATTATAGACCATATTATAACTGGTTGGTGGTTTGGAACATGAATTTTACGACTTTCCATAATTTATGGGAATGTCATCATCCCAACTAACGAACTCATATTTTTCAGAGGGGTTGAAACCACCAACTAGATAATGTATGGAGTATATTGTGGTATAATAGTGCTATATTACTATATTATAGACCAGATTCAATAAGCAACAACATATTATTGTTACTATATATATATAGAAATATATAATGTATATAGTATAATATGGTATATGTATTGTATATATCTGATTATGATGATGATGATGATGATGATGTAAATGACGTGCACATACAGAATATGATATGATATATGCACATGATATGCTACTATAATGTGTTTTGGCATATATATATGAAATAATATAGATTAATATACTATATATCTAGAGCATACATATAATATATGTATATAATAGATAGATTAATATAGTAGTATATAAATAGAACATATGATGCTGCTGCTGATGATGCTGATAAAACTGTGCAAGGTGTTGCCCCCTAGTTGTATTTGCGGGTTCATTGGATTTATAACCCCATCAATCTAATTTTGAACTAAATTGGCTATCTAGGGGGGCCAATTGTTTGTATATCTAGTATATAAAAACCCAGAAAGATGAAGAAAGGGTTGATTTATCACTTTGATAGAGTTGGCCTGCATTTTCCGCATGTTTTCGGGGTTTTGCTGTCTATATATATACTGTAGATATAGATACACACAGTTATATACTATATGTATACTGTGTACTGAATATGTATAATATGTTATACATATATAATCACACACACATATATATATATATGTATAGTTTTTTTTGATGAGTACATATATTATATGGGTCATGAGAAAGCGAGACATGTGTTTTTGATCATTTCCTTTGATGAAACACATGGTGAGTTCTTTTTTCCTTTTTGGGCTCCCAAACGGTCAAACAGCCCTGGATCCCAGGTGCGATCCTATCTCCGCTACAAGCGGATCCCGCATGAGTGGCTCGTGCGGAACTCGGCTGAACGGATGCAGGAGCACCAGAAATATGCCAAGCTGCCGCTGGTTCCCACCTTGGTGACGCCCGATGGAGAGGGTTTGCAGGACAGCACACCCATCATGGAAGAGATGGAGAAACGCTTCCCTGAGCGAAGTATCCATCCTCCAGGGGCAGTGTCGAAATTTATCTCAGAGCTGCTGGAAGAGTTTGGAGATGAATGGGGTAGCTGGGTGTGGATTGTTGGGTATGCAGAGATTTTTTCGGTTGTTTGAGCAGTGTGATCTAAACCCCTCTTGGTTGATTATATGGGATTCTAACTATACTATCTAATATACCCTCTGGTAAACTAACATAGCTATGGAAAATCACCATTTTTAATGGGAAAATCCACTATAAATGGCCATTTTCAATAGCTATTTTGACATAACCAGAGGGTATTGGGGATGATCTGAATCCATGAGCTGGGAAATCCGTTCTGAAAATCAGGCTTTGTTTTTCAACGGTTGTTCGGGTTTTGAACCATCTGCTCAAAAATGGCTGTGTCCAAGAGTTGGCCATACCTTTTAACATCTTTTAACTAGCAATTTTAAAGAGTGAAATGCACTTACCCAATATTTTGGGTATATTTGAAAGTTTTTTTTTTTTTTTAACAGTGTTTGGTGCCTTTCGGGCAGATTCCCCTATATGAGAAGTTGGATATCCAAATCCACTGCATGCATCTCTGGTTCCAGGTATTTTCCCTGCTCAATTCATGCAAACTCCCGGCCATGATTCTATGATCCAGGGTTTGTCTCAAAGTAGGGTATACACGCAAATTTGATGGTGAGTCATCATTTTCCACATTACACTATGTAGTCATCCATATTTTGAATGTATACAACAGATTTTCAGACCAAACCACATACCATATGAAGTTGGTCATATCCATAAAATATCCCGTTCTATCCCACAATTTGTTGGTGAAATCGCCGTCTGAACCGCCATGATCCGTATTCCACACTGACAGGTAACAAATGGATGATGCATCTTCGTTGGTACAGCAGCTCGTCAGCTCTTTCGTCGGAGGTCTTCGCACGGCGCGCTGCGGCGGAGTTTTGTTCAGGTGCGAATCGATTCGCGCAACCATGGGGCATGTTGAGTATATGGGGGCCAAAAAAAATCGCACAGCCCCAAAATCTGCTGGAGAACGATCACTTTCCAAGCAACTAATTAAAGAAAAGGCATCTTGGTGAATGGTTGGTGGATGGGTTAACTTGTAGCCTTCATGATCATTTGGGACGAAGGGACACGGTTAAGATCCCTTGTGGAGTTGGGTAGGTCAGCCTTGGGGGTACATCTCATTTCCATTAAACTTCCGCCATATGGCCTTCCTGTTTATTTATTTGTTTCCTTTAAATTTATTTATGTATTCATATATATATATATGTATACATACATATATATATGTATCACTATATAGTTACACACACATATATATATAGTTTATTGTGAATCGGACGAAAACCTTAGTTAATGCTATATAATATTATACGATATTATATTATACTATATTATATTATATTATCTTATATCATATTGCATTATATTATGTTATGCAATGTGATATGAATGTTCTATTTTTTGCTGATTGTAACACCGTTTCCTAAAATATGGCCACCCCAGTCACCATTCACCAAATATTTTTCGGATTTTCCAGTTTTTTAACCATCCAGCTATTGGGGTACCCCCACATTGACAGAAACCTGCAGCATTAAATCACAGTGATGCTGCGAAGAGGTTCCCCTGATGCAGATGCCATGACGGCCGTGGCGAAGAGCTTTAAGGAGCGGATGCAGCAGCGAAGCTTTACGGCACCGTGGCAAAGTGTAGACTAGGTGGTAATCATGGATATGTCAAGGGAGACAATGGGAGTATCATGGGAATGTACTGGGGGAGAGTGGGACGCTGTGGAGGGTTGATTTTTACGATGCTTTTTGCTTTCTGTACTGGGGATGTATTTGGCCAATGGGGGTTGCTGCGGATCCTATGTTGCCAGAAAGTAGTGTAACATGGGATGGTTCTTAACCGTAACCTTAGAAATCACACAAAACAGTGCTTCCAAAAGGAAAGCTTGGATGGTTGCCAGCAAAATTGAACACCCTAAGTTGGTATGTTATAGCTGCAAGCATTGGGGTACAACCAAGAAATGATAGTTGGTTCTGGTTGGAAGAGCCACCACGAATGTTTTTTTTTGGTCACTGTTGGGACGTTTCCAGCATAGCCAAAAACATGGTCAAAACTTGGGATAGGTTGATGGGGATGATTGGTGAGTAGGATAATCTCCATTATGAGAACTCTGTGGACAGTGCCCATCATAGTAGGTACCCTAGTGTGACTATGCATAATCATATTTTGTTCATTCTTTTTCTACAACGCACCATGCCCATCATGGGTAAGTCAAATGCATTTGTAGTGCTGTTATTCGTCACTAGCGAGGTGGTTCTTGCTCTTGTACTTCATGATTGGCAGGTTTTTATCTCCATTTGTTGTTCTTCATGTTGGCGACATCTTCCCCTTTTCTTCAACCAAACCTCGCCTTTTTCATTGGTTTTTTGCTCCGGTTTATTTAAGGGCTATCCCCCGCCGATGCCAAGATTTTCACACCAGGTTTTCAACGTATTTGGGATTGGACCCCAACAAGGTCTGAACATAGGGTACCCCAAAAGTTATCAGCATTTTCCAAAAATTCGCATAAAATGGGGGCAAGGCATACCCGGCATACCCCATTCCCAGACACACAAAACATCACATTGTTTCACATTGTTTCACATTGTTTCACATTGTTGGCTATGACTTTCCATGCAAAAGCATCATTATCCCAGCATGATGGGTTACCCTCTGGTAAACATACAAAAAACTATGGAAAGATCCACCATGCTATTAATGGGAAAACTCACTATTTCAATGGCCATTTTCCATAGCTATTTTGACATAACCAGGGGTTATATCCTGCATTTTTCGGGTGTGAGAATGGTCTCGCTGCTCGGCCCTCGGCTGAGGTGGGTTCCAACTCGACCACGGCTCCGATCATCGAAAAGACCCTTGGACTTCGAATGAGGATTGGACTCTGGATAAGATAGGGATTTG